ATCGCGCATCGTCCTCATCCTTCTCCATCATCCTGTTGCTGTCGGGTGATTACTGCATGCGCATACTCGCGAAATTGCGACCGGTGCAAATCCGAGCGACGCCGGCAGGGACTCGTTATTTTTAAGATTACATAGGTTTATACGAAATAATCCCGCAAGCTTCAACATAACCTCACCTAACCTCTTCGTGCGGGGTTGTAGTAATCTGTAGGAAACTGCTTCACGACGAATTGTTTATTAATACAAAGTGACGTATACTTTTTACATTTATTCAAACACATGGTATATTTATGAAATATATAATTTGTATGAAGAATAAGTGGACACTTGAGTGTGAATATATGAAAACGTGTAATTCTAAGGATGAATATGCGTCACTGCGTCGCGTTTTTAAACTTCCATGATGCATTACGCGAGTAAGTGGCAACACTCGCAACAATGGCGGCCATTACGACATTTGTATAACGTGTTGTTCGTCACAAATCTAGCTATTTATATAAGCAAAATATATTTCTATTTTCTACTAGCTTTTGCCCGCGACTTTGTCCTGGTAGTGTTTAATAAAACTGTAATTTATTTGTACTCTCTTGTTTTAGACATAGTATGTGTCAATTGTATCAATAAGATTCGCAATTTTATTTTAAAGAAATTAATTATATAAAGAATTGCTAAAAATGCACTTCAGCGCCATCTCGGATTCAACTATTTAACTATAACTATTATTGAATCTCAATACCAACTTTTATCCCATAGAAAAAGGCTGCCTTTAGGGTTTTCCCGGCAATTATTCGATTTTTTCTCGCCGTAAAAAACATCCTTGGACTTTAACGAACATTTAAAAAAAGAATTGGTCAAATTGGTTTAGGCGTTGTTGTGTTATGCGCTTACCAACATTGCGATACGTTTTTATATTATGGATTAAACTGTCAGCTATATTTCTATGATGATTTAAAATAAATTACGCTAATTATTAATTAAAACTTGGAAATAAATATTCGTAAGTAAAAAATAATGTGGTCATGAGCGTGAGTGTGAACGACAAGGGTGCGAAGTACACAATTTCACACGAACCGCAACCGAAACCTATGTGTGTGAGCTTGTTGCAAGTGCCCTAAGTTCTGACTAGCAAGCAGACAGGGTGTCTGCGTGCGTTGGCCCGTTCGCCGCCTCTTTTGCAAATTAACGAGTAACGAGCGATGACAAAGAATTGAAGGCGACGGGGATGCAGAGAGGCGATGTTGCCAACAACCACAACCTCGACCGCAACCTCGGAGAGTGTCAGACAGAGGTTAGCGTACTAAAATGTTAAAATCAGTGAATTTCGTTTTTTTTCTGACTAGAATTTTCTATTTCCCGATTAAATTTCCACTGCTAAGTTATTATTATTGCATTATATTTACTCTTACAATAGGTTGGGGGATTTGGAATGTGGAATTGAAAAGATTTCGCGTCGTTTTGTGCCTCGTGCTTCTTTTTTATTCCAACCGCATGAATGCGTTTCACCTTTTTACTTTCATTCGTGCTTCGATACTTCTCTGATCCTGAGGTTCATAATCTTTAAGCTTCGCTGGCTCTAATCACAAATTAAATAAAAATATTACCTACGTTTTTTTTCTTTTCAATTACTTGTTTTGGGAAATACAACCAAATTGATTTCAAAAAATATTTTTTTCAGTTTATTGAACTTTTAGCTTCTTTCAAGTTCGTTTCTGAATCAGTTTCTCGCGCGACATAAGCAAAAGTCGTATATTTTGTGCTTTTCATACTTTTCACCGATATATTATTCAAAAATATGGCGAGGTAGAAAAGAAAATTTCGCGTGCGAATTCGCGAAAATATTTCACGCGTTATTACCTGAATAACTGCTTTTACTTCTTAGAGAAAAAATGTCTCAGATACTTTATGAGTCGCTTTTGCAGCTCAAATCTTTAGAACTTTCTACTTTTTAAACGTTAGAAATCTGTATAGGTACAATTTCTAAGAAAATATTTTCCTAATATTACCATAAAAATAACACTTAATATACAATATGTTCAAATACATATTTATGCATATGAAATTTGATATTTTTAATTAATACGCATATTATATGGATAATAAAGACATTGTACATATAATTACAACGTCGTAAAAAGAACTTATCTGAAACGAAATTGTTTCTGCAATTAAGCAGAAACAATATCCGAGTTATTAATTGGAACAGCGTGTTTTGTTTTTCTTGAAATGCAAATCAGCATTTTGTGTTACAATAATCATTTTATATCGTAAAAATTATTATAAAAACACTAACTACTTCGTCCCGGTAGTGTTTAATAAAAATGTAATTCGTTTTTACTCTCTTGTTCTAGACATACTGTCAATTCTATGAATACGATTCGCAATTTTATTTTAAAGAAATTAATAATATAAAGAATTGCTAATAATGCAGTTCACCGCGCCATCGATTCAACTATTTAACTATAACTATGATTGAATCTCAATACCAACTTTTATCCTATAAAATGTTTTCTCGGCAATTATTCGAATTTTTGTTACTGTAAAAACCATCCTTGGACTTCAACGAACATTTTAAATAAAGAATTGGGCAAATTAATGTAGGCGTTGTTGAGTTATGCGCTTACCAACACATTTTGTGATTCATTTTTATATATTATTATAGAAGATAAGTTTTCACTTTTCATTTATTTGCCCATTCTAGTAACATCCTATCGAGTTATCACGATTATCTATTATTATCCACCTTGTTCGCAGTGGATTTGCATAATTTTGATTAGCGCTCATCCAAGTAGATCGCATTACGAATGCAGCAGCAGTATCGGCACGTCAAGTACGATGATGTATACATCAATACAAATGCAAAATTCTATACGCAATTGTCCAAACGAGTCACGCTCAGAATATCTAATTACAGAATTTGGTATTACCCAAATGCCCTACTAGCATAATGCCAACGATAAGGGTCCAATTGTCCAATAATGAACCACATTTGATACATGATTAACCATGTATCACCGTATCCACCGTGGGTCATTTCAATACATTTGAGGTTAGATATGAATCCACTTAATTTATGATTCTTGTGGGGTGTACAAAGTTTGTTTTGAATATTTGGGTATTGTTGGGAAGCATAATATCTTTAAGACCTTTTTTAAGACTCCCTAAAGGGTTGTTGGATTTTCATTTCTTGTGGTTGCTTGTTGGGTCGCCAGAATGCGATTAAATCTACGTTTTTGTGATTGTAATTAAGTTGTTTCTTCTTCATTTGCATTCTTTCCACATTCCAGCGTAAAGAAATTAAGAATCAAAGAAATGTGGTGTAAAAGAGTGAACTAGTATTGTGTGTGTGCGCGGATGAAATGTAAATACAAATTTCTTTTTGCTTTGTCCTCGCTTGTTTCAGTTGCTTTTGTTGCTGGTCGGATTACGTCGGTATTAAAATGTAATTAAGTTGTTGGAATTCTTCGCGAGTGTTTGCATTCCTCCAGGGGGCGCGCCGGTGGTTTTTCATGCTTTTCTTAATTTTGCCGCATTTCTTGTTTTCTTGCTTCGTTTGCTTATTACTGCTTTGCGAGTTAAGGAGTTAAGGAGTTTATGGGGCATGCTCGAGTGGACAAAATAAACGAATGAAAACTCAAAACATAACCTCAAATACGCGCAAGAAATAGAATAAATAAACGAAGGACTTGAATGAGTCTTCTTGAATAACAAAAATCTTTTGTTTAACAAACGTGCCGTGAGTTATAAATTGATATCTTCTTAATCAATTTAAAGAAAAACCTAAAAGAACACAAAGAAACAATGTGGAAGAAACATAAGAACCGAAAAAAGGATCCAAACGCAGGAAACAATAAATTGCATTCGTGTAGTCGTGCGAGTCAGCGATAACAGCCGATAAAACAAAAGACAAACAGTTCTAGTTGTCATGATGCTACTATAACTCACGCCAGCCGATAGGCAACCAAATTCACATCAACACCTTACAAACACCTTGTAAACTTTAAAACAGGTGTTTTAAATGTAATAACATGAAAATTAAGTTACCTTAAGATATTATGTTGTATTTGTTTTGAGTATGTAATTCAACTAATTACTAATTCACCCGACAATTAACTAATTGGTAAACGTACATCACACGTTAATTAATTAACAACCGACCACGATTTGATTAATTAGCACACATCGTTTAATCACACACACGCATGGGGCTAAATTGCAGCACTTTTATGTTGTATGCACTTTCCTATTCACGTGCGCCGTGCGCGTTGTAATTCATGGTTAATGAACTCTCATTACACCAACACCATTGTAAACTTTTCATGCGCATTAAAAACTTTAAATGTCAACTAATTTACGCGTAATTGCAAAAATTTACTATTATAATATTAATAGGTTAATATCCGAATATAAACCATTGTAACACTGATGTAGTTTAGTCAACAACTGAAAGATTTTGTTTGCGGTCAAAGATTGTATCTTGTTTTATTTGTTTGTTGGGTATTTTATGGTTTTTTGTTGCATTTGAAACGCTGTATATTTAGTTTCACCTTTGACACGCTTGTAAGACGACGAAGTGTTCATTCAGAGAAAATAACAACTGTTGTGTTATTACTTGACTGTTTTATGAAGATGAATAATAATTGCCTATAGTTTGAGATGCGGCACAAGAATCGAACGCGATGATTGCATATTTGCGATAGTTGCATGCATAAGATTAATTCGGAAATATTATTCATAATCACGCATTTTAATGATTAATTCTTGAATAAAGCTCTACACAATTTGAGTGAGAATTGAGAGCTTGATTCGTGCCCTTTGCACGTGTTGCACTTTAGTGTTTCGTTCTTGTTGCTCGCCTGAAAAAGCCCGCCGCGTGCGTCGGCATCGCTTTGCGAGCTTTTACGAGTGCATAAACGTTTTAGTGCTCACTGCACAACAGAAAATAGCATCCAATGTGTTGAGTACATTTTATTTTTTTAGCCATTCAAAAAAATCTTACTTACTTTTGCCGTAAATTAAGGATAATTCACTTTTTAATTATGATGCACTATGAAGCACTTGTCAGCCACTTTTTTAACGTTTATTATGTCACTTTCTACACTTTATAAGTCTTAAAAACCGCATTAAAATCGCGAAGAGACACATAAAAGTGCATTAAAACGCATTGAACGATGTTAAATTCGTTTAAAACATGTCCTCAGTACATTGCACCATCCACAAGTTGACTTTTATTGAGATTACCTTCAATGTAAATTAACATTAGTTTAAATTACACCACGTTCTGCTTTCGCACTTCACACTCGCACGCAAACACGACTTTTGCGTTAAATTATGCAGAGCACGAAGCACGTCGCTAGAAAAATGTTGCAATCGCACAAAAATGCACAATTTGCGAAAATTATGTGTGACAAATGACGACGTTATTTAACACTTTCTTACATGTTACAAATTACAAGTTAAACACGCACGTAAATAAAGAAAAAAGTCACGTTTTAAACATTTTCAAGTTTTTATTATAAACTTTTTAATAATATTTAGTGTAGTTTTGATTAAATATTTCAGTTATAAGTGGAAACAGTTTAAAATGCGGAAAACTTGAGAAGTTTCGACATTTCGTAGACGAGTTTAGTTTTTAGCTGAAGTTAGCTGTTGCGTCCGAACGCGCGCACAGTCACAACGCGAGTGAAGCGCGAAACGCGAAAACTGGAAGCTCCCAAACACCACCGAAAGACCGACGCAACGCGAATTTCTACCGGCTACGAAAGCGAACTGGCTCTGAACTTTGAAGGCTAAACTGTGGGGCAGACAGGGCGGCTGCAAGCGCTTCACGTCGCATTTTATGCCGATCTGTACGCGGGGCAGAGAACAGTCGCTGCACGAACCGAAACTAACAGTATTAAACTATGCGCAAATGCAACAACTATACTCTGTTCAAGTTCAAAATTAAATATTTCTCATACCACCTTAGAAAATTGGTTAAGTTTTCAATTTAACCTCAAAAAACATGTAAACAACTTGAATGGTTCATATTTGAGGTTAAAATAGAAAAAATTCAAAATACATGAATTTTCTTTTTGAATCTATGCCGTGAATACATTTTCGTGCACATTTTCATGACAAATATGCCCCGCACGCAATGCACGCACACTCGCCACCCCCTTGTTCGTTTAATCTTGCTTTTCGTCCTTAGAAGAGATGTGGCTGAGACTCAGACAGCATGAAAACGAACACGTGCGCAAGAACACGAATATGTTAATATTTATACGACGCCGAGATAATGGAGGAATGCAAATAAAAGAAATGAGAGATCAAGCAAACACCCCGCAAGGGCACCGCGAACGAGCATCCTGTTAAAGGATAATCTAAAAAACAAACGCCAAAATGCACACACACAAAATTCCAACATCTAAAAAATATACGCATGTTGTGCGAGTATAGTATAAATAAATAAAAAAGATAATGCAGGCGAGTAAAGTGAGAAGATGTTGGTGGAAGGACGTGATGAAAATATTGAGAGGGCGGCGATGATCATGAAACCACACAAAAAGGATAGGATTTGCCTGAATTGCTAGCAAATGTAGTTGGATGAAGAAGAACGTTAAGAGTTGTTACGATCAGCACGAACAAAGTCTGCGTCTAAATCTAGATAATAAACATGCAGATAAATTTAACATCTCTGCGGTTATTTATTTGTGTAGATTTGGTTGCCTATACAAAGTTAAGAAGTGTGTGTACGGTTATTTATTTGTTTGGATACTTGGTTGCATACGATTGCATTTATCATGCAGCGTACGTGACAGGCGTGACACAGAAGAATAATCGCTGCTGAAAATGCTGAAAAACTGAATGGAAATGAAGCGATAAGTTGCTGTGAGAGTCGATGAAGCGATGAGGCTACGACTGCAGCAATTTGTTTGCGTAACAAATTAACTGCTTCACGAATAGCTGTATATTTGGTTGCGTGCGTAACCAGAAACTGCACGTCAGTCAAATTTCTTTATTTTCGTGGTCATTTATTTAGTATGGTTTGCAATTATTTATCGTGTGATTTGTGAGTAAAATTTGTCGTAGTTGTCGTCGACATAGTCAAGTTGACAACCGGAAGTCTGCCAGCGAACGACATGCACATAAAACACAAACGCGTCTGTTCAGCGCACAAAAACAAACTCACACACACGGAGAATACAAGTGGTGTAAGAGTAAAGCAAACTCTCGTTACAGCATCCTGACCAAGCAATCCACAAAACATCCTTGCTGATAGAAAAACTAACATAACCTAAAAACAACCAACGCACTATTACATTTACTGTATGCAAACAAAAACACACTTTGTTTTCGGTGAATAGCTGTGAATCGAAAAAGGGCGGAGCAAATTTACATTAGTTTTCGCAAAATACATCTGATTGCTTAACATTTATATAAATTGTGATTACATTGTTGTTTTATGCCTTGAATGTATGTTCCTGATCGATTCACGACAATCACCCTCGATTATTTTCACGATGACTTCCGTTTTCTTTATGCTTTTACGCACGTCGCTTCTTTTATGACTTATCGTGAACATCCGGGGGAGGGTTGGTAAGATTGCGGAACTGTACACACAATGTAACTACAATTAGGATTATGATTCTTATCTTGTCATGTTTCTGAATCAAGGCCGACATATTTTTTTGTTCGTATTTTTCAAGATTACATGCACTTTTCTTGCATTTCATTCTTAGTATAGTATAAAATAAAGTTGTTTTTCTTCAATCCTTCGCTATTTGTCAAGAAATGCATTAAAGCGCACTGAAAAAGAGTGAATAATGCACATATAATCAATCAGCACTGCATTTTTTTCATTTTTTTACAAAAAACACATTGTAGGATGTACTAAACAAGTTTTATCTTTGTTTAATTTACTCGTCCAGGATGAAATCACATATATACTCATATATTGTCTGAATTGAATGCAAATTAATGCGATTAGCTGAATGAAAATGAATGAAGCCGCCCGGGTAATCTTTCATCGATTCGCGAAGTTGTTATTCCGCGCGGTTGGAAAGATGACACGCTCAGATGGTGAGTGGTGAGCGCCCCGAAAAGGGGTAAAATGATAAATGAGCGCACATCGCCCACGCCTCGTTTCATTCCTTTAAAATTCAAACAGCAGTACGAATAGAGCTGTAAGCGGTAAAAACAACAAATGACAGACGAAACAAAACCGACAGAGAAAACAAAAGAAAGCGCGGCTTAAATAGGGAGAAGTGGCGATAAAAAGATATGAAAAAAGAGGATAAAATGATGATGGTGGTGGTTGTGTTGTCCTTTTCGTCGCATATTAGGCTGGTTAATTGATACTTCAACCGGTTTTATCCAAAAGGACATTCAGGACATTATGCTGCGCTCGTTCGGTGATTTAGTCCTTGGAATCCTCGCGTTTTTTTACGAAATATAAACAAAAAACATGATTTGAATGGCGGGATTAATGCTGAAACATGTTTTATGAATTAATGAATTATTAATCTAAAAACCGTCGTATTAATCAATCATATTGTGTAATCTACGCTTAAAGAAAGACAAAAACAATTAAATTATAATTATTTTGAGTTAGGCAACTCAATGTACTGCAAAAATTTCGCCTTTTTATTTTCTGCAAGTACAAGAGACAAAAGTGAAATATAATAGTGCTAGATAAAAACAAACGTAGCCGAAGGGCGTGTAATGAAACTGAAACAATTTTTACCATCGACGAAATTGAGCGAAATTGCACTGAAAAAGTGGGCCAAATCGGGAAATGCGACAAGAAGAGACACGCGAAATAAAAAAGAATCAAGTTGGAGGAAATCGAGGCAAATAAAAAGCAAACGAAATAAATGCAGCTTGCAGCAAATCAACCGGAAGCAACGTGCTCGCCATCTTTTACGAGAAAATACAAAGTGTCATCATTAACTTTTATTATTATTCAATCCGTAAAAAATAAACGCGCTAATAAAACTTATCATTTATAACTCAGACGCATCGTTTAATTAAATTAATGCGTAACATTTTCAGTCGCATTAATAACAGGAAAATAATTGTGAAATTTAATTAATGAGCACCATCATTAAACGCTTGTTGTCGTGCGTCGAAAAATATATCCAGCGGAAATATTTTCGTGTGATGCTTGTGTTACTTTTGTGCTATTGAATGTCGTGATGCATTTGCAGCGATTATTTTCCGACCGCTGCAAGTTTGGCGCTTCGCATTGATTAATCCGTTAAGCCCGGTGGCAAACGCAGCGCGTTGGGAAATTATGAGTTTAGTCGGGCGAAAAGTGACGACGGAAATTGCACCAAAAAGTATTCATAAGCGTCCGCGACTAAAATATTGTTTGGTTAATATTAAAACAAAAGTTTTAATTATGCAGGTATAAATTTTGTTTATTGTTTATATCTTCTATAATATAAAAATGAATCGCAAAATCTGTTGGTAAGCGCATAACTCAACAACACCTAGGGCAATATGGCCAATTCTTTATTAAAATGTTCGTAAAAGTCCAAGGATGGTTTTTACGGCGAGAAAAATTCGAATAATTGTCGGGAAAATCCAAAAGACAGCCTTTTTCTATAGGATAAAAGTTGGCATTGAGATTCAATCATAGTTATAGTTAAATAGTTGAATCCGAGATGGTTGAAGTGCATTATTTGCAATTTTTTCTTTAAAATAAAATTGTAAATCTTATTGATATAATTGACAGATATTATGTCTAGAACAAAAGAGTAAAAACGAATTACATTTTTATTAAACACACAAAAGCAAGTTTGGTATAAAAATATTGAAGTATTGCATTGTTTTTGTTGTGTTTATTCAAAATAGAATAAAATCAAGTATTTTAATTCATATTACTAAATGTCGATGGCGCTAGGTGGCTTATTCATGAACAAAATATGATTGATGATCCTTGACTTTGTCTGAATGACAAACCGAAATATATCTTACTCTTACTTTGGAAAGGTTAAACTGTTCAACTATTTTATTAGATTACAAACAAAGTTATCTCAACGAATTTCGAGATACAATAAACCACGAAGAATTAACCCAGTAGAATGAGAAATAAATATGTCGAAAGTACAACGCTGAATATAAGAAACTTGGATGATAGTACGAAAAATATGAGAGAGGATATGAGGAAAATTTAGCAAAGCCGGGTTAAGAAAGATTAAGAACAGCTAATGAAGGATAACGAAGGATAATTGACTCAAATCGTAACAAGTTACTAAAGTTATATCGAGTTTAACAAGTTCAAACAAAACAAATTCAACGAGTTTAAGTTAATTATACAATTAAGTAAAAGAAACCATACTAAGAAAATAACTGTTATATTAATTAATTACTAAAAGATTATTGTAAAATATTTGTTTGTAACAAATAGTTTTGTTCTTGTTATTAAGCTGTAATTCTAGTAAATTTGACAATTATTTATTTACACGCGTATTTATAACCACCTACTCAAATAAAACTACTCAGATTTGCAAAATGATATAATTAATATCTGCATTAATTACTAGTTTTTATAGATAGTTACATCGCATGATTGCTTTCACTCAACAATACGAATCCGTTGCGCAATAAAACTTTGCGCGCATTTATTCATTCCGAACTGACGAGTGGCGAATTGCGCAATTTCATTAAATCACATTTCAAGCAGATGTACACAATTATTATTCGAGTGCATTGCAAATTTCGAATTACATGAAATTCGGATCTGTTAAATACAAATAATAAAAACATGTTCAACAAATAACAAATAACAATTAATTTAAGTGTAATTTTTAATTATTTCCTAGAAAAAAAGGAAAATCCACAAATGATGTTAATTTTTAAATATTTCCGGCACGTTCACGTCGCATTCATCATGTCGAAGCGTGTCGGTGCGTTTGACACGAGAAAGGACGAAGAAAACGTGCTCACATACTGTTATCCACCCACACATCGCCTCAAGGCGATGACAATCGTACAATCTTCGAAATCTACGATCGCGTTTTGTTCGCGACACACATATTTCCTTCTCGCGTCCTCCAACGCACTGAAACCAAGCCAAACTAAAGCAAGTAAAAGTATAATGTAATTCAAGATGCGCCATAAATACTCTGTGCGTGTTCAAAACCGTCTCGCGTCTGCATTTGAACTATGTACTGCAGTATTTCTAGTTTATGTTGATGATGATTCTGAGTTGTAACATGAACAGAGTATAGATTAACGCGCGTCTAATGGAAATCTACACGATCTACACATTCTACGAGTACACACACTTTCAATATGTATTACAGACGCAATGCTTCAATACGCTTATATTCTTTTTTCGTCTATTCGTGTTTCGGAAGTGTGGGCGCTTTGTGCCAAAAAGCGCTTGTTCACTACGCGCAAATGCCAACAAAACACAATTCTAATTTGTAGGCTATTCATTCGTATTGTTATATTGGTTGCATACGTTACAATATTTATTACCGTATAAATTGCATTTACATCACAAAACAACGCAATCTTTTAACGCTTTTACGAAATTAATACTTTAGTGCTTATCATGTGTGCGAATATAAGTAATTAATTAAATCAAAGGTCTACAGGTTTGTTAAGCACTTAAATTCAAGGTTAAATTAATTACCTTCGAATAGTTTTTATCAACAGCTATTTTTAAATATAAATAACACTATTGTTTTGTTTTTAAAAATAGAGTTCTATATTGCTAATTTTAAAAATGTTTGCGTTTGCTCGTCGTATAAGCTTTAACATACAGAATGTGTATCTGCTGTTTATGATACTGGGTGTTATGGTAAATTATTCAAGTCAAGAAACACGTTCAAATAAAGAGCAGTGTGAAGTAGAAAGGTTTGAAGATATTATTAATGATGGAATTAAAAATGCTTTGCGTTTTGTTGAGCCAAGGGATGCAACCCAATATGCAGCCAATGGAAAATGTACAGAGAAGGAAAAAGATTTAGGTGATTAATTAATATAAGTTGATAATAATATAATAAACAGTTGTAAATCAATTTTTTATAGATGAAACAAGTTATGATTATATAATTATTGGTAGTGGTGCTGCTGGATCAGTGGTAGCTAATCGTTTATCAGAAATTGAAGACGCTACTGTTTTGGTCATAGAAGCCGGCCATTTTGAAAATGATTTCATTGATATTCCTGGTTTAAGCACCTATGCGCCTGGTACCGAATACAACTGGGCTTATAAAAGTATTCCACAAAAGTCATGTTGTTTGGGTAATAATTAAAAATAATTTAAAAACTTTAAAATTTTATTTTTTAATATTTTCTGGGAAATTATTAGGAATGGTAAATAAACAATGTCAATTTCATCGTGGTCGTGGTATAGGCGGTACAACTCTTATCAATTCAGTTGTTTATTCTCGTGGTTCTGCTGAAGATTACAACAAATGGAATATTTCTAATCCTGGCTGGGCATACTCTGATGTTTTACCTTACTTTATAAAATCAGAGAATGCACAATTTGATGGTGCCGATGAAGGTTACCACGGAACTGGTGGACTTTATAATGTAGAGATTAGTTCATATACTACACCACATCTTGATGCTTTTATATTAGCCAATGAACAATTGGGATACAAACAAATTGATTACAATGGTAAAGAACATGTAGGCGTATCTAGAATTCAATATAATACTAAAAATGGCCGACGATTGACAACAGGAAGTGCATTTATCAGACCAGCAATAAAACGCAAAAATTTAAAACTTTCTATTGATAGCTACGTTACAAAAATCAACTTTGAAGAAACGAATAACAATTTTAAAGCTACAAGTGTTGATTATCTTAAAAATGGTTGTGAATACAATGTTAAAATCACCAAGGAAGTTATACTATCAGCTGGAGCTATCGGTAGTCCTAATATTTTACTTCATTCGGGTATAGGTCCTAAACAACATCTTGAAGATGTCAAAGTTAAACCTTTATTGGACCTACCTGTAGGAGAAAATCTACAGGACCACATTGCAATTAAAGGTTTGTCAATTGAATCCAACACATCAATAGAAATCAATCCACTTGAAGAAAATATCAAAGAATATCTTCATGGTCAAGGACCTTATACTCTCGCCGCTGCCCATGGTGCAGTTGGTTTCTATAAAATACCAAAATCAAAACATGAACACGCTGCTGATGTTGAATTTGTTTTTATCACGCCGAATAGAACCAGTGCTTACTTCCAACGTTTCAATGGTTTCTCCGATGAAACAACCCAAGCTCTCACTGAAAATTTAGACAACCCGTCGACCATGTCAGTAATACTCGCAATGGAACACCCGGAATCTGTAGGTTATATTCGACTTAAATCTAATAATCCTTTGGAGTATCCACTGATTGATCCGAGGTTTTTGGATGATTCTCATGATAATGATATTGAGGTATTATATCAAGGTCTTTTGTTACTACGGAAGATGGTGGATACTCATGCTATGAAAGCTTTGCATGCTAGGTTTAAAAAGATTGAGTTGCCTGCTTGTAAGCAACATGAGATGTTTTCGAAAGGGTATTGGTATTGTTTTATAAGAGAGACAAGTGATGAGTTGTTTCATCCAGTTGGGACTTGTAAAATGGGACCGAAGGATCAAAATGGCGTTGTTGATTCAAAGTTGAAAGTGCATGGGGTGGATAATTTAAGGGTTGCAGATGCAAGTGTGATTCCTTTCAGTATGGTGGGACATACATCTGCACCCAGTGTCATGATAGGGGAAAGATGTGCTGATTTTATTAAAGAAGGGCATCATTTGAGTTAACCTTAAAAAACGTGAATGTTTTTATCATAACCTTAATATTTTGTCAGTTCAATGTTAACATGTTGGTTATTTTAGTATATAAAAAGTAATTCTGTAAAATTATGCGTAAAAGATTATGTTTACTTTTATTGTTATTTTATTGTTGATAGTGGCAGATGGTACCATTAGTAGAACTGATAATGAGTTTATTAATAAAGATGTTTTAAGATACGTTAAAATAATTGAAGATGGTATTGCAAATTCATTGATTTATTTCCAACATGAAAACGCTTATGAGTTTCAAGATGGCCGATGTGATTATGATGATTGTCCACCTATAAGTATAATTATAAATTAATATTTGATTGAAACATAATTATCTTTATTATCTTGATTTAAACAGACTATGGATATTTTGATTTTATAATTGTCGGTAGCGGTGCGTCTGGTTCTGTGATTGCAAATCGTTTAACTGAAGTTGAACATTTTAACGTGTTGCTATTGGATGCTGGCCATTTTGAAGATGAGTTTATTAAAATTCCTGGGTTAATGTCCTACTCCGCTGGTACGGACTATAACTGGGGGATCAAGAGTGTCCCACAGAGAAATGCTTGTTTAGGTGATTATAACTTGAACAAAAGTTATAGGTAAAAGTGGTAATGTGTGTTAATTTAGCAATGGAAGAAAACAGATGTCAATTGTTTCGTGGCCGTGGTATTGGTGGCTCTACAATTGTTTCACCATTGATTTACGCACGTCCATTGCCTTCTGACTTTGCAAAATGGAATGCATTAGCTTCTGGTTGGTCATATCAAGATGTCCTACCATATTTTATAAAAGCAGAGAATTTTTCTAATAGTGCATCAATATTATCAAAAAACATTGGACGCGATGGTCCTCTATGGGTTGAGGTACCCAATTACACTACACCTCATATTGACGCGTTTTTAAAATCTAATCTTGAGTTAGGATTTCCGGAAATTAACATTAACAACCTAACGGATATTACTGATACAAATATTCAAGGTGTTTCTAGAGTTCAGATAAACACACAAAATGGCCGACGATTATCCGTGGGCAGTGCTTATATCACTCCAATAATACACAGAAAGAATTTAAACATTAGTGTTGACAATTACGCAACAAAAGTTATATTTTCTCATGGTAAAAGTAATAAGAAACATGCAGTTGGGGTTGAGTTTTTCAAAAATAATCAAAAACATATTGCAATGGCTAGAAAAGAGGTAATTTTATCAAGTGGCACTATTTCTACTCCACAACTTCTAATTCAAAGTGGTATAGGACCCAAAAACGATTTAATTAAATTAGAAATTGATCAGATAGTAGATTCACCACATGTTGGTAAGAATTACCAAACCCACGTCGCCATTTTTGGATTATCCATCGAAACAAACACCAGTGTTAATATTTTATCATTGGAAGATAATGTGAAGTTGTATTTAGGGGGAAAAGGTGTTTTGACAATGGGAGGAAACAGAGGTGCAATTGGAAACTATACAATTCCTAACAAGCAACATAAAACAACATTAATTAACACTCAACACAATAATTATGATCTGGAATTTATCTTTTTGACACCCAATCGTACTGCTGGTTTCTACCAATCCGGATATTCATTCAAACCAGAAGAATTCAAAGCCTTAACGAATAATCTCACAAATCAAAACACATTTTCCATATTTATATCACCAAGATATCCAAAATCTATTGGTGGTGTAAGAGTAACCTCAAAAAACAAATTTGACTTTCCCTCAGTAAATCCAAATCTTCTTTCTGATGAAAACAACTTCGACATTGAAGCTATTTACCAAGGTATTCTCCTTCTTAAAAAAATGTTGAACACAAAAGCAATGCGTCATTTAAACGCTAAATTTAAACGTATTATATTACCTGATTGTAAATTTAAATTATTTTCGAAAGAATATTGGTATTGCTTCATAAGACAAACCAGTAATGAATTATTTCATCCAGTTGGCACAAACAAAATGGCATCAGGATCAAATCCTCAAAATGGTGTAGTGGATGAACAATTTAAAGTGAATGGCGTGCATGGATTACGAGTGGCGGATGCTAGTATTATTCCTTTTAGTATGACAGGACATTCTGCAGCAACTTGTGTTATGATTGGTGAACGCTGTGCTGATTTTATTAAAAATGATTATTATTAACATAAATCAGGTTAGGTTAGGTCATAAACTCTTTGTTCAGTTATTCTTATCAATAAATATGTTAATATATTAATATGTTACGCATAACTTAAAAAAACATAACTTTAAAAATAATTCCGGTTTAATTATCGCAATGTTTATGTCCTTGTTATTGCACCAATTTATATATAAACAACTTTACGATTTATGAATTTTATTTTACAAAGAAATTTTATGCTGAGTATAAAGTTGTTATAATTTTAATGGCATCATTTTGGTTGTTGATGGTTTTTCTTGTTTGTGCATCTGGACAAGAACATGGCAGTCAAAATAGCGAAGAATATAGACAACGTTTTGTAAAAATTGTTCAAGATGGCCAACGTGATGCACTCAATTACCATCTACCAACAGACGCGAGTAAATATCGAGGTAGTGTTAGGAATTGTTTCTGGAATCCATTTCGATGTTTTATCCGACGAGGTAAAATTTTATCACAAATGTTATTATTAGTATCAACGTATCACTTGAATATGATAATATTTAGACCTTGGAACATATGATTTTATCGTAATTGGAAGCGGTGCAGCTGGTTCCGCCATTGCAAATCGCTTATCCGAAGAAGAAAACTTTCAAGTACTGCTCTTGGAAGCCGGTAACTTCGAAAGTGACTTTATCGACATTCCCGCAATGGCATTCTACGCCATGGGCACAGATTACAACTGGGCTTATACTAGTATACCACAAAACAATTCATGCTTAGGTAAAAACCCAAACATATCCTTTATTTAACATCATAAACATAACCTAAATACATTCAGGAATGGTTGAAAGAAGATGTCAATTCCAACGTGGGCGTGGCATAGGTGGCACCACTTTAATCAATGGTTTAGTATATTCTCGTGGTTCTGCTTCCGATTATGATCGTTGGGGTGCACTTGGGAATCCAGATTGGTCTTATGAGAAAGTTTTACCTTTCTTCAAAAAAGCAGAACATAATACAATCCCTGATCTTGATGAAGGTTACCATGGAACCGGTGGGAATGTTAATGTAGAGCACTCTACATACACCAATGCACATCTTGAAGCATTCCTTACAGCTCATGAGGAAATAGGTTATCCTATTCTAGATTACAATGGTCGTGAACACCTGGGAGCATCTCGAGCACAATTCAATACCAAAAATGGTCGTCGTGATACTGCGGGAGCTGCCTATATTAAACCTGCTATGAATAGGCCTAACCTTCATATTAGTACAGACAGTTATGTTACTAGAATCAACATAAGCCCTTATAGTAAATCTGCATATGGAGTGGAATTCACTAAAGATAATCTTCCATGCTCTGCTACTATCAGGAATGAGATTATCCTCTCGGCTGGGGCTATAGCAAGTCCACAGATTTTGATGTTAAGTGGGGTAGGCCCAGCTGAACATTTGGGGGAACTAGGAATACCTTTAATATCTGACCTGCGTGTCGGAGATAATCTACAAGATCACATAGTGATTTTTGGAACTACAATCGAAACAAACACTTCGATAAAAATTGATAGTATTGAAGGATATGTTGATGAATACTTGAAAGGGACAGGTCCTTATACTCTACCAGGAAACAACGCAGCTCTTGCATTCTATAAAACTAACTTTAGTAAATACGACTCGGCTGATCTTGAACTCCTCATGGTGAGTGCCAATAGAACAGATGATTACTTCCAGAAAGGTTTTGCGTTTACCACAGAAACAGCAGATGCCATTATGCATAATCTACATAATCCATCAACATTTACAATTTATATCTATACGATGCATCCGGATTCTGTTGGGACTGTAAGACTTAAATCTACAAGTGCGTTTGATTATCCATTGATAGATCCGAGGTTTTTGGATAATGAGTATGATTTGGATACTTTGTATTATGGTATTGAGTTAGCACAAAAATTACTTGACACCGAAGCGTATAAAAAATTAGACGCTAGGTTTAAGCCTATTGAGTTGCCTAACTGCAGAGAACATGAATTATTCTCTAAAGCTTATTGGTATTGTTTTATCAAGCAGACAAGTGATGAAGTTTATCATCCAGTTGGTACTTGTAAAATGGGACCGAGAGTTGAGGATGGCGCTGTTGTTGATAGTAAATTTCAAGTGTATGGGGTTACTAATTTGAGGGTAGCTGATGCTAGTGTCATTCCATTTAGTATGGTTGGGCATACTTCAGCGCCATCTACTATGATTGGTGAGAGGTGTGCAGATTTTATTAAAAGGAAATATAATGTTAATAGGGAATTCAGAGATTGAAGAAAATAATCATGTTAAATAATTTGTTAACAGAAATATAGAAATGTTTAGTTTTGTGCAACAATTTTGTATCTATCTTATGGATACCCCTTGACATTTTGCACGCAATAGAATGAGGGTGAGTCACGCGCTTCCAGGTTTGTAGCAACGACTTCCTCCTCCATTTATTGCGGGTCGACCAAAGGTAATAAAAGGTAGTAGCACGCAGTGCGTTCCAACGTTCAGCCACATTTAAGTATTTTTGCAGGCCAGTTTTTTTGTTTCTATATTTTATAACGAACAAATCTTTATTTTTACTTTAAATGGGACTTTTAGGCATCAATGTATCTTTACATATATTGGTTCTCATTAAATTTGTTTTATTTATTCATATTACTTGGTATCAAGATCAAAACAGTATTTGCTCTAGGCAGTTTGTGTTCGTTACGCAATTATTACAAAAAAGGTCATATTTCTTTTGAAAATAAAACTAAATTATTGTCTGAACATTTTATAAACACGTGTGTCTGTGAGTATTCAATGAATTAATGAATGCAAATGTGAAACATTTTATTTCTTTACAATCGTGGTATAGTTATTTGTTTCTCAATAAACTTTGAAGAATTCAACCAGTTTAACACGACATTTTTCTAAACTAAATTCATTTTCTTCTAAGTTTTGCTAAGTTAGACACTTATAAAATTTAGTTAATTGGAAGTGGAAGATTTGATAGAATTGGAGAAACAAACTTATCTTGAGCATTGAACAAACTTTTATAACCTTAAAACATATTTACTGGTGACTAGCGTGTGTCTAGATTAAAAGTTAGGTTATTTAATTGTGCATCGCACTCTGTCAAAAACTTATTCCATAACATTCAACTTTTTCCTGGTTTCTACTTACAATTAAGTACAGAAATTTCAACTTTCGGTTTTACGGCTGTCACTACTACCCTGCTCCATTTATAAACAACATCAAGAAGTTTAAACCCACACATTCACTTTTTCTAACCTTGCCATTCTGTTAAAACCTACGCTATTGTGTTTGTTAGTGTTGGTGTGACACTCTGTATAAATTAATAGGAGTATGTATTATAAAGTCATGTACATTCGTCATTATTACTATTATAATATGTATTCATGTTAATATTACTTTAATTTCTTATTTATTTATTTATATTTTAATTAATGGTAACTATATATCGTCGACTAGCTAAAAACAGAATTCGTTTGTGACGTGTGTTGCAGAACGTGTCGGCAACGTAGCGACATCTTGCAGTAGTTGTATTAAATCGTGACAAAAACAAGTTTTGTTATTATTTGCGTTATTTCATAAGTTACGGAAGTTATTTTCGGATTATTTATATTTACACGAATGTTGTGTCTTGAGTTTGACCTAAAAATATTATATTGTCATAAACATGAAAAAATATAAGTTTATTTTATTTTTTAAAGGATTTACCAGCATAGAAAGGATTTGCCGTGGGTTGAGACGTCGACGGGCCTTCGGTATCGTTGCCTTCCATTTCGAAGTCGCCGAGTTGCGGTGCATACTCAACTAAGGCAGTTTGCTAAACAAATTGAGGTTAGTTATTAATTAATATTAATACTAACACTAAGTATAAGTTCTAAACTCACTTGGAATGATTTGAATCCTTCCTCCTCTTCGGGATCCGTATATTTGTATCTGCAGCAGCAGAAGCAGCAACAACAGCAGCAGAAACAGGTTGCGATGCAGCCGGCGTAAACCAACATCTTAAAAAATATCATTTTTTGTTTCACAAACCAATTTGCACAGCCAGCGATGTAAAAATGAGAGCAAAATGATGTTGGGGGGATGTTGGTAGTGACTAAGAAAAAACTTTACAAGTGCGAATGCGTGAATCAGCCACAACATCACGGCGGCACACAAAATGGCGGCGCTCACACCAAACGGAAGACAGAATACGGAATACACGGAATACACGGCAACAGAAAAATGTCAGGCGCTGATTTTCGGGTTCATCGAGCACACGTATTGAACATGTCGAATAGACACACTTGTATACATAGGGGGTGGCGGAGGGGAAGCGGGCTGATGAGATATTCGTTTGTGGCTATAATTAACCGCACGATTCAATGATCACAACGTTCCAAGCAATTCAACTATATATCTCTAAACAATGTATTCATGGTTGCCTGCATTCCATGAATCAACTTGTCCACATCATAAATACTTTTGAGGTTAGTGATGATAGGTTAGGTTGTGTTACCTTTAACCACCATGGTAAACGAATCCGAATGTTTTCATCACCGAACTGGTTGGCCATTGCCAATCCAATGGAACCATATTCATCATAGATAGCTCTCTTATTTTCATCGTTGAGTATTGAGTACGCATAGGTAATCTCTCTGAATTTCTCGACGGCCTCCGGGTCGGAATTCTTATCGGGGTGGAATTTGAGTGCTAGGCGTCGATAATGCTTCTTGATCTCTTCAGGAGATGCGGTTTTCGGCAATGTGAGATGCGCATATAATGATTCTCCTTTTGCACTATAAATAAACACCAAGGCAACAATTGACTATCAACAAATTATGATATTTTACAATAACTTACGAGAGTTTTCTTCTATTGGGTATATTTTCCATTTTTAATTAATAATTTATTCTTTTGAGACTAGATTAGTAACCGAAGGGTTAACAATAGCACTTTTTTGTAGTTTCGAGTTGATTTGTGTTTATTTTTGCGATGGGACGTACGAAAACGTGAAAATTGTGACGCTCGGTGAAAAATCTTTATACTACGACTATATTTCCACAAGGAGCAGAGGTTGCGGTGTGGGTGTGTGGGTATGCGTAGCGGCGCAATGTAGGAGAAAGGACGAAGGACAAAGCGTAGAGAGAAACGGAGAAAGTTCAGGACCAACAAGCCCTCTGCCATCGCGCGCAATGCGCATGCGCACAATATAATCAATTTCTCTTGAATGTCCTGTGGTGCAACCGGTCACATCGGATAAGTGAAAACCTTAAGGACCTTTAAGTCATAAATAATAAATATAAAAATAAAAATCCTTGAATTAACAATGGTTTTACATCAAAATTATTATTATTTAACTGAACTGAACTGAACTGAATATTTGATTTTTATAATATTTTTAGGATTTATTTTATAAAAACCAAAATATTTATGATGTGATAAAAGTTGCCTATATTTTAATGCATTTTTATTTGTTTCTGAAGCGAAAATGTAAATAGTTACCGCTGAAAACAAAATTTTTATAAAAATTGCATCAATATAGCTTTGAAATAACAAAACTACCTTTCCTGGTCTCTGTGGCAATATAATTTTGTTCACTTTACATTTTTTCTACAATTTTTACACCCACTTCCGGAGTTTGACCAGTATACAAAATTCTAGTGATCATTACCAGATATAATACATAATTTACAGATATACAAAAAGGATAAGTAGTCCTTATACCTGCTCACCCCCAAGCAACAGTAAACGTGCTTTACTTGTAACCTGTTAAATATTACGTGCTAATGGAAATAGTTGACGCCAAAGTCGTGTAAGTTTTACGGTCTCACGCTAGGAGATAGCCACGTGTAGAACGGTGAGATGGCGACGAAGACCATTGGATGCAACAACTAGAGATGCAAACATAGGCGAGTGTTTGCAGTCTTTGTGGCGTTATTAACGCGATTTTGGTCACTCAAGTAACTTGAGTGCGGTAAGAAATGGAAGGTGTCCGAAGAATAAAATGGCGGCGATTTCGGAGACTTGACAACTCTTGATTAAGCGGTGCTTGCGCATTTGGGGTTATTGCGGTTGTTGCCTGTCTTTTGTTTGAGGATCATATCGCAGTTGATATCGGAGGGGATTATGGCATCCAACGCCATCTTGTCGGAAATTAGTATTGAATTTTGGATTGTCGCGACTATGAGTTGAACGTTTGTTAATGCTTTTTTGTTGTTTGCAATTTCTGATATGCTGTGTTAATACAGGTATGATTTATTTAAAAAAAAACTGTTTAAAAACTCGTCTGATTAATTGTGTTTCAATTTGCGTTTTCAATTTGCTGATTCATTTATATCATACCACAGCATGATTTTAGTAATATTACGTGCATGTTTTCTTTTTCAAAATCGCCTTATTAGCGAAGTGAATCACCATCAGCCTCGGGCAGTTAGGGAGTAAGTTTAATTTCTTGCTCATACTTAAACACAGCACCAGTAATATCGGTAATATATATTTTATTAACAAATTACTAATTATCAATTAATATGGTCGTATCAGTCAATACTTCTTTCGAATGTTCCGACTCGGCCGGTAGATTTTGTTTACTGCCAATAATAGAACCCTCAAGTTTACTGTTACTATTTATAACAACATCATCACAAATAATGCAGTTTTCTATAACAACTCTGCAACATGAAACAAACAAAATATTACACGACTACATCATTCATTTAATTCAAATTACCTTTCATGTATCTTCACATTATTCATAATAACAGAGTTGATTACTCTGCTAAAACTCGCCACTTCGGTATTACTGCCGATAATACTGTTTTTAAACGATGTTTTCTCGTTCAGCGTGACGCCATCCCAAATAAAACAATTATCAACTTGTGTTGACTTGATTGAATTCTTAGATTTGGGATCTACTTGAACTAATGGTAGGTTATCGCCAAAGAGTTTCTCCCATTCTGTTGCAATCTAGATAATGATAACATAAGACATATAAAATTTGTATTTTTTGTTGTTTTTAATATTACCTTTGCGTTTATCGACCAGTACGCTTGCAATGTATTTACTCTAACGCCAATCACGCCAGGATCTGTAATAATCGCATAACACCTTACACTATCATCATGATAAGCTCCTTTTAAATCACCAATATGATCATTATAAGCATTAGCCTCGCGTATTTTCTTTTCTAAGGCACTCTCTTTATGAAAATCGAAAATATCCTCGGTTTTGACATTTTTAATCTCGGACACGTTTGATTCTATCTTCGCTTGATCACAACTCTTGCGTTTAAACTGTTGTTTCAACGCGTGCGGCAAAAATTCGCCTTTAAACGTAGTGTATTTATCCTTTTCATGCATATACTTCAACAGCCAGTTTTTCATCACATAAAAATGAGAATCTAGCAAATTACTAAACATTTTTACACCCGGATGTTTCCTGAATAAATTGAGTGGGATGCAAACATCGCTTTCAAAGTCTGAAGTAGATGCAAGAAAAACTAATCGATTCGTTTGTGAATCAACGCCGATTAAATCCCGTTCGGGTTTGTATTTCCCCTTGGGACCGGGGATTTGAACGTTGTCTTGAATATTTGGTGGGAAGTAGAGAGATGCGAGGGTAGCGTCGTGTTTGCGGAAGACGTGGAGGACTTCAGCAAAGTCCATGTTTGTAATTAAGTCACAGGAGACAATGATCAAGTCTAACTTGATCTTGTCTGCTATAGAGCAGAGAGATTGGGCTGTTCCCCATTCCCCATCTGTGCTTTGAATGGTCACATAGTCAATTTTTATGGTCAGCTCAGTTTTCTCAAGGGCTGAATGGATATCTGTTTTGTCTTTGTCACAAACAATCAGGATAACATCTATAAAGAATAACAAAATATTTAGAGATGATTTTCTAGATTTGTGACAATTTCAAATTGCATACCTGTGAATCCAGATTGTTGTAACTTGTGCAATGGGTACCAAATCATTGGCTTGCCACCAATGGGCAGCAAACACTTCGGTTTATGCGTTGTCAGCTCGGGCATGCGAGAGCCCTTGCCGGCGGCAAGCACCACTACTTGAAACTCGTTCCGTATATTCATTTTATTTCAAAAAATTGTGCTTGCGATGAGTTGTTATGATGAAATATGGTCGAAATTGAGGTTTATAAACGTGAAGGTTATGTTTGAACTAACTGAGTGAACTTAAAATATTAAATTCAATTTAATTTTGGTATTTTTTTGATAATTATTAGATTTAAATGATTGGGATATTATTCTGAGATGTAATATGCAATATTCAAAAATTAAAGTTGTTGCGGACAATGTAAAATAAGTTTATTTTGAAAATGTGCAGTATGCATAAACAGGTTCCTTATCATCTCTAAGTTAAGCAGGTATAACAAGTAGCCTCTTTAGCTCAGTGGCAGAGCACTGGTCTTGTAAACCAGGGGTCGTGAGTTCAATCCTCACAGGAGGCAAATATCTTTTTAAACTTTTTATTTTGTTTTTAATATTCTGTTCTATTCTTGATCCTCGTGGTTTCTAAATTAAGTGATCTAAATATATCTAGAATTTATATTTTTGTAGTTTATAATGATTATAAAAAAGATTTTGACCAATTTTTAAAAGTTAGGCAATTCGTTGACAAACTTTAATTTAACCGCTGAGTTCGCATCAACCTACACGTGGTCTTTGCTTATGTCAGTTAATGAACTTGCTGATAAAACTTTGAAAAGATGACCGAGAGACCAGTGTTAACACCGCAACAAGAACGGAAAACATTAAGTGCGAAAAAAGTCAAAAAGAGACCACTTAAACATACGTTGATCACACCTTATGACACGAAATAGTATGTTACCAAACTTTATTTCCATTTAAATCTAACCTAACAAAAGGTATAAACAAAATTGTTAAATAAATTTAATTTCTAGTCGGCCAACTGCCTCTCCTGACGATAATGAAAAGATATTAAATATTCTTTCTACTCTACCAAGACTAGTGCCAGAAAAATCATCAACATTATGGTCAAGTATAAAAGACATTCCAAAAGACAAGCGAAAAGAATTCAGGGCTCAAAACCAAGAAAAACTTCCTAAACAGTCAGCAATAAGACAGAAGTTAGTCATGGGTATTAACAAGGTCACAGAAAATCTAGAAAATAATAATATAGATTGTGTTATGTTGACATCAGATATTCAACCATTTTATATGGCACAACATATCTTAGACCTGTGCATTGTTGGTAGTGTTCCTGTGTTAATCATAGAAGATTTAAGAAAAGAATTAAATAATACATTAGGGATAGCTAGTACATGTCTAGGTATTATAATCAATCATAAACATGAGATTCTTGCTGATTTGTGTAAAGCTGTTAGAAATGGTTGGGAAAATAACCCACCACCAGATGATCATTCACTTAACATAAAACAAGATAGTTGCATTATTGCTGATGACAAAGAGTTTAATGTTTTAAAGAAAGCACAGAATACTACAAAAGACAAAGTTGAGAAAAAAGTTGAAAATTGTAGAGACTTGCATTTAGTGAGAACTGATACAAAATCACGAGTTTATGTGCCTCAGAGAATAAAGAGGAACAATTTGTTTAATGCCGATTTCATTAGATTCAGTGGCCAACAAGCAGAAGTAAGTAAAAGCTTGATTGGAATGCAAGTTGGTAAAATGATTAAAGATAAATGGCGTGTGAAAAATGAAAAAAGACAAAAACGCAATTTAGCGAAGGGACAAAAGCCAAAGACACAGTTTAATAGATTTAAACCAGTTCTACATCAACAAAACCAACCGAAAAAGAAGAAAAATAAATAAATATTAATTGTATAGTGAATATATTTTATTCAAATGTTTGAGCATATACACATAACTTACAGTTGCAACTTTAAAACTTAAATCCTACTTAACGTTACTGAACATTGTAACACAAATAATAATAATAATACTCTATCGAATAGTTTGCGACATGTGCAACGGTGACAGCATCCATTCAAAAGCTGCGTCCTTGAGATTCGCTCCCCGTAGATTAGCCTCATGTAAATCACTCCCCGATAAATCACAGAATTCCAAATCGGCCCCAGCCAATTCCGACCACTTCAAATCGCAGTTCTTTAAATTTGCATTTTTTAACGTCGCTACTCTTAGATTAACACCGCTCATCTGTGATCCTTCCAGATTTGCGCTCTTAAAATTAGCACCTTCCATGTTTGCCCTAGTTCCATTCGGGTCTTCAAAATTGCAGTTTCTCATCACGGCGCCCTCGAAATTGGCACAAACACATTTTACAGCCATCATCTGTGCACCATCCATCTCAGTCTGTGAAAAATCAGCGCGTTCTAAAGAACACCAACTTAAATTCGCTCCTATTAACTTGCATCCCTTAAGATTGGCGTATTTAAAGTTGATATTTCTTAAATCAAGTTTACTTAAATCTGCTCCTTGTAGATTCACGCCTTGAAAACGCAGCTCGGCAGATTGCGGACATCGTATGAGCGCGTTTACTACATCACGACGATTCAGAGGCACTTCTTTCACTTCTTGTTTCTCTTTGAATTCTTCCAATTGTGTCATGAGTGATGGAATGCCAAAGAATTTGGCTTCTTCCAATAACCCTTCTGGATTAATATGTTTATCAAAGATTAATTTTCCAGTTCTGAGGTAATTCAGAATCTGTTCGAAATATGTTGGATTGCGGTCGATTAAAAATGCTCCCTTGGCGTCAACGTTGCTGGGGGTGTATAGGAAGGAACCTTCTTCACTCTCTTGAAACATTCGTGCCAGCATACTGTCAGGATCTGATTGTAAAGTACTCTTTGATGTGGTGAAATATTTCCCGCCGACATTAAGTGTAATCCAGTCTTGCACTGTTTGCAGTTTTAACATTTCAGGCTTAATATTATTCTCAGTTTCAGATACATAAAGCACATCATTATCTCTTATCACATCTATGTCAGTTATTTGTCCCCCAAACGCATTAAAAATATATACAAAGTTTGAGCCGAAGTAGGATTTTGATGTGTCAAGTAGTTCTTCCATTGTTTCTGGCAACAATATGCACTAAACAGAAAACAACTTTTGTTTTTGGTTTGTGGCTTAGAAAATTCTTGGCAAAACTTACATATCCACGATGTATTTCATTTTTAATGAGAGTTATTCGCTTTGATGATGATTTGGACGATTCGCTCATTGTTCCTGGTGGCAATAAACCTTTGTCGGCTTTATTTTTCGTTTAACATAACATTTTTGAGATTAGTAGTTGATGAGGTTAGGTGATACAAAAAACGAGTGTTTCGTAATAAATAATGGTATGGAAATGCAAAATCCATTAAATAACATTTACAAATATTAATAGTTTACCAACTTATTTCAAATCTATATTAATCTATATTCATCAATTCATTTTGGGGGAAGAATATGTTCAGTTATAGTAAAATTCTGGAAAATATTTATTGATATAGAATATATTATATTAGGCAAATTTATTTTTAAACTAATATTATTTTATAGTTATAAACAAACAAATATCTTAGAGTTATGAAGAATCTCTGTGTATCGCTGTAATCAATTTTTATGTACAAACAACTTTTTCATCTCGGTCAACAAACGGGATGCAAGCCCGTAATATTATCGTGAGATGTCGCTGCATGCATTACAGCAATCGAAATATTTAAGCCACTATGGTAAGTCCAGCTGTGTTCAGGTAAGGCAGTTTATGTATGTGCGACGGGCGGTGACTCGCCGCTTGCCACATTATATATTAACTTTTAATTCGGTAGTAGTAAGTAATACATGTGAGTTAGTGGTTACATATATGTGATGGCTTGCTAATAAATTAATTGTGCGGGGAATACCTATATTCGTAATTTGTGTTTTTGGTGTTGAAACATTGTAATAGGAGACAACGTAAATTTCTGAGCTCGTAACAGTTATAAGAAATTATATGTGATGCGTGTTTTATCATCATTAACTATCGTTGTAGTTTTGTGCGTGATGTTCTCACTCTTTTTTTCTTTGTTTTAGATTTTCCTTTTGCTTTCAATTACTCCATACGCTGGTAAGTTTGTAAGTAAAGCATTTTTATTCTTCTCTATTGAATTCTTACTAATTCTATAATTTTTTTTACATCTCCCACTCTTCCCTAAGTTAACTGTGCCCAATTATTACAAACATTTAAAATGAATCAATCAATTAAATCGAAACTGATATAAAATTACAACTAAAAAAAGGGGGCCATAGACCAAATATATAATATTGCTAATACGAGTAAATTTTAAAATTAGGGCCTATTATCTTCCAAATTTAATTTTTTTGAATAGTCAACGTTTTAAAAATTTTGAACATTTTTGTAAATTAATAACGTTGAATATTTTACAATATAAAATAACCGCAAAGTTTCGAAAACAGGCAATATATACAAATTATACCTTGTGCCCTCATCTTGTCCTACACGATTCGAATATTGGTGTTTGTTTAAATATTCTCTTCTTATCGCGTATCAGGATTACACATTCGTCGGAGACGTTGCTGCACTCAGTCTAGTCGGTGTGTGTTGTCGGCTGTTCCTTGTGCATTCAACACATTGATATATGGAGTTGTACTATTCCATTGATCATTGACGGAACTCAGTATTTATAAATGCGTGTGTGATATGTGGGATACGCTGTTGCCGCTCCAAGAGATCATGCGGGAAGTGCATTAAAATTGCTCTATAAATTCTGTGATTTTTAACATATTTCTCGTTTCATCGTGAAAATTGGATTCGCGAGGGTTACAGAGACCATCCGGGAATTTGTAAGTATTTTAGATTCTATTAGCGCGAGAGTTGATTTCAACCATACGTTGGTGCCGCCAACTGAAATAATTTTGAAACTGAATAATCCAAGTGTTCCTTGTTGAGCGTTGAATTTTCTTTATAAATGTAATAATGTTTCCTTTATAACATCCTGTATATTTGTTATCTTTCATTTCCAATCAAGAATCAAACTAATTTGTTATTTGCAAATGTTTCTCTCTAAAAATAAACCAAATTTGTTGTTTTGGAGTTTTTCCTTCTTGACTTGGTATTTTCGTTTGTGATGTAGAACCTAATTAACTTTTGTACAACCTTGTATGTTTGTTTTTGTAGTATTCTGTATATCAAAGACGGTGCAAATTTATGCTTACGAAGTGTTTTTCATCTTGAACTTTATATTTATTGTTTGATAGTTTTTATTTGCAACACCGTGCATATATTTTTAAATTTCCCCTTAAAACATTTGTTCCCAAGTGTTTTCTTTCTTGAACTTTAAATTTTCTTTTTGGTAACACCTTGTATATTCATTCTCCTTAACACCCAGCAACTTTTTGAACATTGTTTTTCATTTAGCAACACTCTGTATATTAGTTTTCTTTAATTTAAATACCATTTCCTAATACTATACTTGTCTTATTCTGATTATAATATTTAACTTGTTCCGTGTGTGCGCGGTTATGTAGGTGTTAAAACTTGTTTTAAGTTGTTGGTCGCGGAATATTCTGTATGGCTTAGAGTTTTTTGCCGTCATGTTAGGAAATTCGGAAATGCCCTAAAATGCCCTTCAAAAATGAACAATTTTAGGAATGTTTGAAAGCATGGTGTGGAAAACGCCCTGTATCTTGTGAACTAATTGTCTTTCTTAGAGTTTCTCCATGTCAAAATTTACGTAAAGTAAAAGTTCAAAAATAGTCGCTAAAAGTGTTAAGAGGAGCGATTATCACCGAAACTGCCTTTTCATACAGACTACATTTAATTCTGGATTTTAGGATTGATTGTTCATACAAATAAGTACGTAATATCAAATCTTTTCATTGCATTAGACTGTATCCACTGGATACTATCCACAGCATGCATTGGACGTAGTTCTCACTTTTGACTCTTATCGGTGATTGTGTACAAACAACTTGTTTTTATCGCGTTGCAGCGCGTCCGTCGAGCTCAGCATTGTTTGTGCTATTTCTTACTTAGTCGATCGTGCGCTGCGGCGTGGTGTGCACGCGTTTACTTGCGAGGTGGTCTTCGTGACGACTAATCGCGTTTCTTGTGATTTTAAGTCTGTAGTTGAATTAGAATCGGTTTGCAAAGATAAGATTTAGAAATAGCGGACAAGTGGCGCATATAGTTAATGAGTTAACTATATAAGTTCGCATGGTTTTACAAGAACGCACGTGTTTGACGTCGGTTGACGGATATCTTCCTTCGGCTTAAAATCCTTAGTGGTTTTGTTCTGTATATTCATTTAATAGTTAATTTAAATCAAGATCTTTTGTGCCCCGTTTGGAATATTTTACCTGCGAAAACGTAAGAAAGAACTAAATACTATATACTGTAATCTATCAACATTATCGACAAATTAAATAGCCAAATATGGATTCAAAACCTGATATGCATAATCGCTGATAAGCGAGCAGTGAAATAAGTAAACACTCTGAAAATAAGTAGGAATAGTTGTCACATGCTCGTTGAAAAGCAAGTGTTGCAAGAATATTGTTGCGTTCCGTGGGCTTCGTATTCGTTCCCACTAGGTCCCGTTTTTCGTGTCTGATCGTTGCTTTTGTGCCTTAGTTCTGCGTGTAATCGATTTTACGCGTTTGCTAATTTGTGTACTTACGAGATCTTAATTTAGTATTTCTTTAAAAGATGTTTAATAAAATTATAATAATAAGTAATTAAATTATTTATTATGTTTCTATCCTTGCACTTATCAGCCCTTTTAGACAAACAATAGTAAACGGGTAATAAAACATGCACTTTTGATTTTTTATTTGTATCACTCTGTATATAAATTTTCCTTATTGCCCAGTGAAAAATTGACAATCTCTCTGGTTTTGGGGTGATTTACTTTTTAAATTGAAGATTTTCTTCTGGCAACATCCTGTATGTAAATTTTCTTTTATGCCCACCCACAAATTGGCAATCTTTATTGTTTTGGGGCCATTTTATTTTTAAAATTGAAGATTTTCTTTTGATAACACCCTGTATATAATTTTCCTTTTATGTCATGCGAAAACGGCATGCAATTTGCAATTTTCTAGTGTTATTTGTTGTGATTTGGTAGCCGTTAGCATTAAGCGCTATGCAGGTCATAAACATGTTTTAAAATGACGTCATGTTTTCTGTAGGTATTGAATTTGCAAGTCCTGAACTTCTATTATATGTAATTTGTTAATAAAGAAATGTTAAAAGTAATGGCAATGTCTTATGACTTGTGCACCCCTCCTTTCTATCATTTCAGGTACAGGTCAGAACTTGCAAGAATATTTTTAAGTGTCACCTCTCTTGAGGCGACTTAAAACTTAGAAATATTTGAACAAGACCTTATAAGGATTGTCCTTATAAGGAGTTCCCTCTCACTGGGGATGATCCCCCACCATAAAATTTGTTGATATGCCTGAGAATCCTGGGGATGAAGCGTAGAGACATCGTAGCTGTAGGATGGGCCGGGAGCAATGGACGCATCGAAGCTGTAGACTGTCTTATAGAACGACACGCCGCCAAAAAAATTAAAAATCTGAGATCCACTCATGTTCTCATTCGTCTATCTCCTCCTTCCTCCTCTCTACTCTTCCTTCTTACCTTCTCTCCTTCTCTACTACTATTTCTCTGCTCTCCGTTTCTCCACTTACTTCCTTGCTTGCTTCTCATATGCCTTCACTTGATTTGCCATTTCTCTTATATTTCATTTGATTTTACTATGCAACCCAAATTACACCTGTTATTTTTATATTTAAGAAAAGTGCTTTCTATACCTGAGATTCGATCCGTGTCTACTAGCACGCTAGCAGGTGCACGTACCCACTCGACCACCGAGTGTTTTTAATATTAATATTTGATTCTTATATTTACGTTTCTACTTCATTCAACTTTTTAAAAACAACAACACAACTATGTTGCTCTCCCTCCACGCGCATAAGATTTATATGCAACATGACTTATGACGTTATTACTGAAAACGACAAAGAGGATATCATAAAGTAATATCAGTAAGATTGTAATTTTACATAGTGTTTTATTAAGAACAATATCAATAGATATATTTTTTTAAATAAAAAAAATCGACCGCTAGCAAATTCGGGAGTAGTAAAAACTTGCCTTAACACGTTGAGGACGGCGCGGTTTTTGGGTGTCTGTCGCATCGGGCGGCGTTTGAGCATTTTCAACTCCGTCTAATTAATTTAGCTGTGCGCCACTGGTGGTTATGCATTGCTGTATCAAAAAGCGATTGTTTTTGCAGTTGCGTCGCCATTTATTTATTTTCTTTGTAATGAATGCCTTTATCTTTAGAGTCCGACCGAAACTATGTGCGAACTGAGATGGCAAGTGACGACCACGACTTAACCGCGAGTTAGCCGAACGACGCACGATAATTTACGAACACTGAGTTTCGGTTCTGCCAAAAGTTTCAGCCAATTTTTAGCCGAAACCAAATTTGAAGCCAAAACTGAAACTTTGGTCGGTCACTATTTATTATAATATGTAATCTGAGTCACACATTTGATGACAAAGATGCAAGGCCCTGATTGTATAGGTGAAACGAGGAGAATATATAACCTAACCAGTGGCGTAGTCAAAAATGAATAAGTCTCGTTTCAAATGAGCCGTGTACCACCGGTGGTACACGCCGTCCCACAGACCAGACGCGTGTGTACCACCGGTGGTACACGCCGTCCTCAACGTGTTAAAATATACGCATTTCCAACACTTCAGCTCTAGATATTGCAAACTCCATTCGTGCATTCACTAACTTTTTGTCTGTGCATTAAAGTTGTCCATTTGCAGGAATTAATTATAATTCCAAGTTATTCTTATGTGCGAATCTATAATTGATTGTTAACGGAAACGCGCGCACAGGTGAACCAAAAATGAATCCACGATTGATAAACACAGCAGCGTGCATACTTATCCGACGGCCACTACGCACGTCCTAAAAGTTACAATCTGGTAAGAGAACTTTTGCGCTACGGCATCGCGTTCGCCCGCTAGAAACCTAAAACCACAAAAATTGGAGAATCGAAAAACACACAAAGGGCATTTTCATAGGGTTCCCATGGGACCAACCCATAGATTATATACAAAAACAATAGAGCATTTTAATACCTACAATTTAGTGTAAGCACGGTTATCCTACGTCATCGTGTTCGCCCGCTAGACACCTAAAACCACAAAAATTAGAGGATCGAAAAGCACAAAAAGGGCATTTTCATTGGGTTTCCAAGGAATAAACCCACAAATTATATACAAGAACGATAGAGAATTTTAAAACCTTAAATTTAGTGTAAGAGCGGTTGTCTCACGATATCGCGTTCGGCCGCTAGACACCTAAAACCACAAAAATTGGAGAATCGAAAAACACAAAAAGGGCATCTTCATTGGGTTTCCAAGGGATAACTCATAAATTATATACAAAAACATTAGAAAATTTTAATACCTACAATATAGTGTGAGAACGGTTGTCCTACGACATCGTGTTCGCCCGCTAGTCACCTAAAACCACAAAAAATAGAGGATAGAAAAACACAAAAAGGGCATTTTCATAGCGTTCCCAAAGGATAAACCAATAAATTATATACCAAAACGATAAAGAATTTTAATACCTAAAATTTAGTGTAAGAGCGGTTGTCTCACGATATCGCGTTCGCCCGCTAGACACCTAAAACCACAAAAATTAGAGGATCGAAAAACCCAAGAAACTCATTTTCCTAGGGTTCCCAAGGGATAGACCCATAAATTATATACAAGAACGATAGAGAATTTTAATCCCTATAATTTAGTGTAAGACAGGTTGCCCTACGACATCGCGTTCGCCCGTTTGACACCTAAAACCACAAAAATTGGTGGATCAAAAAGCCACAAAAAGGGCATTTTCATTGGGTTCTCAAGGGATAAAGCCACAATTTATACACAAGAACGATAGAAAACTTTAATACCTATAATTCACTGTAAGAACGGTTGTCCTACGACATCGTGTTCGCCCGTTAAACACCTAAAACCACAAACATTGGAGGATCAGAAAACCACAAAAAGGGCATTTTCATAGGGTTCCTAAGGGATAAACCCACAAATTATATACAAAAACGATAGAGAACGTTAATGTCTACAGTTTAATGTAAAAGCGGTTGACCTACGACATCGCGTTTGCCCGCTAGACACCCAAAACCCCAAAAAAATAGAGGTTCGAAAAACACAAAATGCGCATTTTCATGGGGTTCCCAATGGATAAACCCACAAATTATATACAAAATCGATAGAGAATTTTAATACGTACAATTGAGTGTAAGGACGGTTTTTCAAAGTATTAACTTATTAAACTATTTCCTCCTTAACGTCTCATGAATCAATTTCGTCCATGAAACATCTTTACTAAATGTTTAATTCCTTGAATTTTTCGCACTTGCGTCCGCGGTTGAAATATTTCACACAGGGTACAAACAATATTTAGTTAACAAATTAATTGCACTACGCAAGAAAAACCACTGAGACTTGTAAGCCGTCGTAAGATATTCAACTCATTTCAAACAGTAAACAAACGTGGATAAATTAATCCACGACTTAACCGCCAAATAATATATCCAAGGGGAATTTGTAGCCACCTGAATTTTACTGACGGCCTGCAACCGATAGCAAGCACGAGGGTCCACGAGGCAATCACTCAAATCTAAATTTCACGCGCGATAAATTATTAGTGATACGGCACATTCACTTACTAGTAAGTGTCGTTAAGTGCTAAATAATTCTAATATTACTACCAAATTAAAATAACAAGAAAAGATACGTAACTAAGAACACGTGCTCACTACAGCACAGCGCACGATCGACTAAGCTGGAATGACGAAATAGAACTATCTAAATAAACAAGAAAACTGCATAGGTACAGTAACAAATATTTGCTACTCAACCTTGGCAACATTTCAAGACTACTTTATACTTGGAAGAACAAAAATTTGACTACCGAAACTAAGAAAGACAAATTTTGTGTCTTTTCCTTGGGTTTTATCAAGGGAGATAAAATGACTAGAAATTTCAATACTTACAATTTGATGCAAGTGTGCTATGCTGTGTGCTCGAGTTTGCTTAGTAATCACCAAAAACGAACAAGTCAGTTGTTTAAAAACAAAAATTTAATCTATGTGGTCACGTATGAAAATAATTAATAAATTTAATTACTTACTGCTGAAAAATTTTATTTTGTGATGTCGGGTGCAGGTGGCTGATTGCTGTTAGAAAATTTCGTTCCACCAAACTAAAATTTGAAAAATTGTGCGGGTAGCGTCATCTAGTTGTGATAGTACAAATCATATAATAGCAAACTATCGTAGTAGTTGTGGCGGCATCTAGTTTCCGATACACGAACTTCTAGATAAGCAACAGAAAACTGCAATAAAGCTAGTGACCTTTACCTTTATCTCATTACAGAACACAATATTTTTAAAAATTGCTAGTGTGCTAAATTAAGAATTTCAATACATACAATTCAAACAAGATTCCAAAATGCTGGATGATCCCGTCTAATTGAGACAACTAAAACAAACGGAAATTAGTTGTGTAGTACACAAAAAAGATGTTTGTTGCATGCCCAAATGCAAATAATTAAAATTTGATACTCACTACGCTTAATTTGGAGTAAAAACAAGTTTAAAATCACTGCAAATATTCGAAAATATTCAAAATCTTTTATTAACAAACGACAATTAAAGTAACTTAATAAAATTAATACAAAAAAAAAACTGTACTAGCCCTGTCTGATATTGTCATAACCTGGTATTTACTTGTTTTTTGTTTTATTTGAACATAAGGATTCGAAAAAACATACATACTCTAAGAGACAGAAAGAATTGACAACCTAAATTAAATGCTTAATTATTTCTTCTCTGCAGCGGCTTTCTTCTCGCGGGCCTTCTTGCCTTCTTGCAGAGCTAATCTATCGTGCTCTGACAAAGCCGGTAGTACATTCGTTACAACTCCCGTTCCCAAGGTGGTAACACCATCTCGCAACGTAAATCGTTGTCCCTTTTCGAGAACCATAGGTCTGATCATCTTCAAAATCAGGGTGGAATCTTCACCGGGCATGACCATCTCTTTACCAGGTACGAGAACCTGAACGGCGCAGTCCCACGTCCTCGAGAACATCTGCATCTGCACGAAAGACGTGAATGGCTTGGCCCTGCCACCCTCTTCTTTGCTGAGAATATAAACTTGTGCTTCGACATGATCATTGGCTTTCACAGAACCTGGCTTGCACATGACCATACCACGCTTGATATCATCTCGTTTCACGCCTCTCACGAGCGCGCCAAGCTGATCTCCAGCTTCTGCCTGTTCAAGAATCTGATGGAACATCTCGACACCAGTAACAGTTGACTTGATGACTTTGTTGAACCCAACAAATTCGCAATCGTTACCCTTTTTAAGCACTCCACGCTCCATACGACCAGTGACTACTGTTCCACGGCCGGGGATAGAGTAGACATGTTCAACTGGCAGCAGGAAAGGTTTGTCCAACTCCCTTTCTGGAGTAGGAATGTATTTATCTACTTCAGCCATGAGTTTAAGAATCGCTTCGGAACCAATCGCGGCTTCTTTACCTTCCAAGGCACATAGCGCAGAGCCAGTGATGATGGGAACATTGTCACCATCAAAGCCCATCTCTGTCATCAACTCTCTAATTTCCATCTCAACCAACTCCACCATTTCCTTATCAGCAGCATCAACTTTATTGATGAAGACAACAATGTGTTTCACACCGATTTGCTTGGCAAGCAAAAGATGTTCCCTAGTCTGTGGCATAACACCATCAGTGGCTGCCACCACCATTATAGCACCATCCATCTGTGCTGCTCCTGTGATCATGTTCTTGATGTAATCAGCATGGCCTGGACAGTCAGTGTGGCCATAATGTCTGTTCTCAGTCTGGTACTCAATGTGAGCAACATTAATTGTGATGCCTCTAGCTTTCTCCTCAGGAGCGTTGTCAATATCTGCATATCCTTTAGCATCAGCAAGTTTTTTCTCTGATAGAACTTTGGTAATGGCTGCTGTGAGGGTGGTCTTGCCATGATCAACATGGCCAATGGTTCCTACATTACAATGTGGCTTTGTCCGCGAAAAGACTTTCTTTTCGGCGTAGAAACGATGTTGTGTATAATTGGGAACGATACACTGTACAAGCCGGCCGTGAGACTGAAAACGTGCAGCTTCACAACTCGCTAGCACTTGTTTCAGGGTTTGCCGGAGGACTAAAAATATTTTTTAGAGGTTACCTCGTGCAAAGGCGCCGCTACATTGAATATAATCATAAAAGTAACACTTACCAGGGGCAAAAGACTTCGCTGTTATGAAAACTGCCATCTTAGGCACTGCCACTTATTGTTTTCCACAAGAAACTCTTATATTTATAGCACTGATTACGAGTTTAATTCGGCATGTGCAGATTGGAATACATGAAGTTCACGGAGTGAATGATTATATCACATGTGTTTTAAATATTTCTATTTTCCGCCAGATGGTGTTTTAGTAGTACATTCAAAACCAAGTTATAATTCAAAGATGTCGCAAATCACTTCAAAAGTTTGATTGTAATGTCCAAAAAATCTTTTCGTCCGCCATGTCAATCACTTGACAATGCCTCCCAAACCTAAACACAAACCCCCATGTTGCCTTTCCTGCATCTGTCCCTGCGGCTTTGGCCAAATTCGTTATGTAATCGTGGCAATGGGCTTCTTCAGCATCATTGTCTCACATTGTCAACGTGCCGTGTTAAGCATCGCAATCGTGGAAATGGTAGGCTCAGGAAGTGCAGCAGCACGAAGCACCTGCCCAACCCCGCATGGCGATTCGCACATCATCGAAGACATTGGAGGAGGCAAAACAGACTGGAACGAAAAAGAACAAAATCTCAATCTGGCTTCATTCTACATCGGATACTTCATAATGCACGTACCAGCTGGTATACTCTGTGACATGTACGGTGCGCGACATATCCTCATCTGGGGCCTAATACTTTCCACAATCTGCACGGGGCTTATCCCGCCGGCAACAATGTACTCACCATGGTGGTCAGTGTTTATCCTTCGTGTTTTACTCGGATTTGGTCAAAGTGTACAATATCCATGCCTTTCATCCTTGGTTGGTAGATGGATCCCACCTTCAGAACGAGCTACAACCAGCGCCATTGTATTCGCCAGCAATTCCATCGGTTACATTGTTGCAAATCTCTGTAGTGGGATGATAATCATGTACTTTGAAAATTGGACCATACCATTTTACCTCTGGACAGGGATGGGTGTAATCTTTACCATATTAGCATTTATGTATCTTTTTTCTGATCCAAGAACACATCCATACCTACATGAAGTTGAGAAAGAATACTTGAAAGACACTGTGATTCAAACAGAACGAATGAATATCCCTGTAAAAGCAATGGCAAAAGACATTTGTGTTTATGGTTTGATCATTGGCCAAGCGGGACATGACTTAATCATGTTCCTACTAGCAAATAACCTACCTAAATATCTCAACAACGTTTTAGGGTTTAACATCAAAACAAACGCTTTGTTTTCCTTCATATACCTTGCACAACTAATAGCAGCATTTGCATTTGGTGTCCTAGCAGACCACATGATCAACAAGAACGCTAACCTCTGTTTAGTTAGAAAAGTCTATACAAATCTATCACTGGTGCTTCCTGGTTTAGCAATGCTGGGAGTTGGTTTTGTTGAATGTAATATTCCATGGGTTATAAGTCTTCTGATTGCAACCATGTTCTTCAATGGTCTGTACTATTGTGGGCTCAAGGTTCATGTACTTGATGTGAGTGTAAATCACGCGGGTCTCCTCATGGCGCTTATAAATGGCACTGGATCATTATCCGGGTTCTTCTCGTCGTTTATAATCGGGATTGTCGCTAAGGATAACACGCATGAGCAATGGCTAATAGTCTTTTCAATCATGTTAAGTCTACACATATTCACTGGGTTTTTATACACGCTGATGTCAAATTGTGAACGCCGCGACTGGGACTATTTAGAAGGAGAAGAGAAAAAAGTACAAACACGATCGAAAAAGTGTTGTCTACAACTATCCCAATCTGCTTATGAGTTACACTTGAAAGAAGCTGCTGATGCGAAGAAATTACATGAGGATAACGTGCGTTCAGCCAAGATGAAAATGAAGGCGTCGTATATTTCGCTCATGTCTGAAAGCAGCAGTACTCGCGGACATAAATAAATAAAACCAACGGAATTGTATGTTGTATTGAAAATTTAAATTAATCGGATTTATTTGTGTATGGGTACGAGCTTTTTTTATTTTTATTTTTTATTTTTGTGGCTGTTTTAATTCGAAATAAGATTTTTAAGCTGCATTCCAACATCGTGTCCGTCGTTGCAGTTGTTGCTTTCAAGGTTTTTCAATTAGCGAGTTGACTTTGCTCTTTATTGCCCACATTCATGCATTAAATTATTAAGACTTCACCTGAATCGGCAGCCCGTCTTAATTAAGTTAAAAATCTGCGTGTTGTAGGGCAATGAATTCTTCTCCTCGCTCGCGTTTTGGCAGAATTCGTAAACGATTCCCACGAGATTGCCGGCATTGTTTCGCGGATATTTCGCATTTCACGGCCGCACTGTTGAATTTTTCACTATTTTCGCACTATTAACGCATATATTTGATCCTCGCTGGTGTTTTTAATTAGTAAAATCTCGTTTCGCGCGTGTAACGCACAAATTCAACCGGGGGGAAACGAAGAAACAGACGAAGAAGTCAGTCACGTGCATAATTCCGCCGTGTTTGGGAATTGAAACAATGGTAACGGATCACGAGTGAAATATCCGGAAGAAGCCGACGATCGGACGTGGAATGGACGTGGTATTATCACACTTCACACTCAGCCGCAGGCAGAAAGAAAAATATAAACGAGTTTAAGATATATAACGAATTAATTAATCATTATGTTTCTAATTGTATTAAGTATGTATAATTCAGTTGTTCTTTTCTTTCCGGGGCATAACTGCTTTGCGAGGCAGTATTAAAAAGTCGATGTATTAAAAATGGCATAACGTAACGTAAGGTAACGACGTCGAATGTGTTACATGTGATTTTCCCATTGATATTTGTGCTTTGAAAAGAAACGTGGCAATATTATTGCTGCGATATTGTTTGACTGAGTGATTTACAGTTTTAATTTATCAAATTGTACGGAGGTAGAGGTTACAATTATTAATTATTATAGAAAATTAAATTCTAGAAGTGAATAATGAAATTTACTTTAAGTAATAACAAAAAAATACTTTTTTCAATGTTTTTTACGTTTCAAACATCCATTTTTCATGTTTCATCATTTCATTTTGTTGCTTTTGCTAAAATTTATGTTACTTTTTTCATTTTTCATTTTTTTTGGTCTCTGGTATTTTTTATTCAGCCAAAAATAATAGATATCGATTCTGTTGTAAGTAGCGTAATATTATCGACATTATTTTAGGTTATACATGGCACATTGAGTTGAATTTTGAGGTTAGCTTGTTTGGTATGTTGCATAATCCCGCACGTCGCGGGAAATTCAAAATTTAAACCGGTACACATACAATGTAATAAAAATAAAAATAAAATTAGTATAATAAACTAGTTATTACACTATATAGATTAAAAATAACAGAAAATTAACAAATGCCGGTACCCTGAACTTGTAGTTGTAGAACATTGTGTCCGATGCGATAAATGATATCACGAACAATACGCTTGCACACAAAACGATTGCAAAATGGAAAATTAAATGTACAGTTATTTATTCATCATGCGCACGACCAACATGCGATCGTTGTGTTTTTTTCGCTGTGGTAGTATTTTTTACTATTGCCTACAATGTACAATGAATATTATGATACTATAAAGTAAATCTCATAATTTTATGTTAGGTAATTTAAATTTTGTTTAATTAGTGTCACATAAAAGCAGGTAACAAATGAGCATTGCGACCGAAGGTAGCAAAACAATGAGTAATTGTTTAGGTTATGACTTTCTTTGCATCTCATTGCATAAATTAAGGTGTTAAAGACGTTTAAGCATTTAAAAGACTTAAAAGGCTTGTGGGAAATCGGCGCGCACTTTGGGGCTACAAAAAGTTTGTGCAATCGAAAAACAATGTGTGAATCTCTTTTTATGGGCTGAGAGTAACTAAAACTTTATTACCTTGCATGTATGTGCTTTAATGAGATACGTAATTATAATTAAACTTGCTCTTTTAAAGGTAGTACATAAAAACATTAAAATTGATTAAACAAAGCCTTCAATTATACTTCCAACAACCAAAGACATTAAAATCTTTAGGGTTAGAAGTGTTCCAAGCATTTCCTGTCAATATTCTGACATTTAATTAACCTCAAAATATAATAATACGTTTATTACGGTTATATCACTTAATTTCTTTTCTCTGGAGTGTAAGAAGAATGATAAAATGCAAGAAAAGTAATCATAATCAACATAATCAGCAATAATTATCGGTAAAAGACAATTTTTGTGTATTTTTGCATTTATAATATTAACTAACCTCAAAATTTACTCACGGCAGGCAAAAAAAATACAAAAAATGGAACAGAACGCAAAAATAGTTCATAAAATACAAATTTTGAGAGTTTTTTGAGTTTGCGTTATTGATCTAACTTCAAAATTTTCTAATCTCAAGAAAATATACTACTGTTCTTCTTTCCTCAATTTATTTATGTGTTTTAAAGGTTATATCACTTGTTTGCATCTCTTTGCATTGTAAAATACAACATAAAAGAGTAAAAATGTAATCTAGGTGCAATAATATGCCATAAAACCCAACTCATTGCAAATTTCTGGTTATTGACGTTTAAATAACCTCAAATTTCTGCTACCTGAAGCAAAAAACGCGATTGTGAATCTGTTTCCTCAATTTTCACACCGCGCGTAAATCAAAAATTAGCATCGTAAGATGCAAAGCACTGGCGAGGCGTTTCGCACCATCAAAGAAATTAATACGAACCGGCGGATCTTTCATCTCGCGCATCGCGCCGCGTGTATGCAAGAACGAATGTGGGCACACGCACGCACACCAACACGCATACACATGCAGCCGGGTCCCGTTTTCGTGTGCGGTGTGTGCTATTCATTCGCATTGTGCACGTAGAAGAAGCACAGCACATATAGGATCTCTCTTGAACTTGGTGTGTACTGTTGTTCTTCGGCGAGAGCCGGGGACCTCCGCGATGGACGCGCGCTTCGTTCAGTTCTTCAGCGGCCGGACCTCCGCCAACATGCCGCCGGTGTCGCTCGCGCGCGCGCTCCGGCGACGCTCCATCGCGGAACACTTCCTTCGGAGGACACTCAAAGGATCACGCATGCCGCCGCCGGCGGTCAATCTGTGGTGTACGGTGATACTTTTGGCTTTTCTGCGGATCGATCAGTTCATTGTTAATGCCGGTAAGTTTAAAAATAAACATAAATAAAGTTTAATTTATTTAACTGAGATAAACTCGGTTTCGATTCATTGTGGATGCATTCAATCCATCATTAAATGTACCACGAGCAGGAGATGAGGATGCAAGCGAAAAAAGCGAAGGTAAACCGATGTGAGCATCACAATGGCGCATTCTGTGGCGGTGTAGTTTTTTTTGTTTTTGTTGGGCAAGGAAATAAATCCTATCGACATAATAAACAAGCTAAAGTTAATGGCTAAATTAAATCGGTTACAGCTCGTTTTCCTGCTTCTTTTCCTTTCTGTGTCTTCGCAAAAGAAAACAACTTGTGTTTTTTATTCCTAAAGTGCGTAAAATGCAAGTTTCAGTTGTTTAGTAGCAGAAATCTATTCAAGAGTAAATAATTAACCTATCTATGCAATTAATTAGTAAATACGGTAATTATATTGAAAGTTACAGATAGTTTTTAGTAAATTTACAGTTTTTTTTTACAAAAGTAAATATTTAAGTGTCAATTACTTTTAACGGAATAAAGTTATTAAAATGATCTTTCTTGCATTAAATTCAGAATTTATTTCTTAATATATATTTGAAAAAATTATAAGTATTGTATATATAGTTTTTTGATTATTAATAAAAAACTACGAGAAAAAAAGCGGTTGTAGGATTTGTAAAAAAGTTTTCTTTTCAGTTATTAATTCAATTACGTAAAAACTATTAAATTTATTTGAAAAACTATTGTTTATATCTATTTAATATTAACTTTCCAACATAAATGTAAAAAAATTTTGTTGATATCACAATTTTAACAAAAGTTATTTGCAATTTTAAACTCATTTACTAAATTATACTAAACTCAAATTTCAATTGTTGACAATTTTTTATTAAAATTCATTTACAACAAAATGTAATAACAAATCGACGCAGAATTTAATCCTAAATCGATTTCCAAATAAATTCCATTACAAATACTTTCCAAGTTATCATTTAAACACTCCTCAATTTCAGACCAGTAATACTCTTCCGGAGTTAAAAAAAAAACTATTTTTACATATCTCTAGGTATAACTACATTAACTTTGCACACTAGTGAATAAAATATATCCCCCTTCGCCATAATAACATAATAAAGCTGCCATTAAAGTGTATGAATAAAAGTGTGAGTGCACGATGATAAATCACAATCCGCCTGTGCGCGTTTACGCGCTTGCCGAGCTTGCCGAGCTAATTAAGTTGTTGAAAGAACTTTCGTTTGCTTTGCGCACACGCTGAGCACTTTACACTCCTGCTACCTGCTGGCTGTTGAAACGTTTACTGCACTGAAATACTGCACTCGAATGATATGATTAATAATTAATATCTAAATATACACACGAGCTTTTGCTGCATCATAACTTCAGCTTACTTAATTGAAGCTATCAAACAAAATTATCCTTCGGCAATCCAATTAGATAATAATCAGTTATCATAAATTTAAAATTTATGAAAATATTTATTTTGATGTAATTATTATTCTTAAACACTCTGTATACAAAAGCTCTGTGATGTTTTATGACATAACAGCGTGCAAGCGTTTCCTTATTTTCTCGCACGATAGATAAATGCAAATGTTTGTTTAGTGCCAGCGTGTGCGTCTTTATCACATTTGTCGTCGGCGGCGGGGAGAGAAGACACATGAAACAAGAAAAAAAAACACACGACATGCGAGTGGACAAAAATGTCGTAATTCACGGCCGAACGGCGCTTTTCTGCCCGCAGCCGGCTGTTGCGTTCGCCATTGAGCGTCGTTGAAATATTGAAAAACTAATAAAACAAAACGGTACCTAATACCCATACAACACTTCTGCGCTAATCACGAACACACGGGCGTACATGTGGCGTGTATGGTCGGGCTATAAAACATAATCACGTCAAGTGTACAACTTCGTCAAACACATCAATTTCGTTTAGCTTGTTATCGTGGAATGAAATCTGCTTTGATATTTTGCTTATCTAATGATTGGTGGTGACAATCTCGTGTTTTAGTGCTGTTATCTGCAGTGAATCTTTCGTTGTGCATCGGTGAAATTCATGCGCGTGTTGGTATGCACCAGCGCATGCACTTTTTTCACTTCCGGCTGGTTTAATTGAGTTAATTAAGAGTTTGTGGTAATATATATATCAAATATTTTTGATTTAAATTTTAGCGTAGCAAAGTTGGAATATAAACGAAAAAAGTGATATTTTATAGTTTTTTATTAATTACTCAAAAGTAATTAATTTATTTGAATTACTTCTTTAACTATTTATGTAGTATTAAATTAGTTATACGTCCATATAAAATTTATAGTAAAAATTATGTTTCTAGGCACAATTTTTGCAAACTTTATGATTTTTTTTACAAAAATCAATTTTATTTGTTAATAACTAATAGGTGAATGTGTAAATAATAGTAAAATTTATTAGATAATATTCAGAATTGAATGCTAAATGCAAATATAGATAAATAATTACTGTAACATTAACACACTCTAAAATATTTATTAAATTGTAGTTTTTAATTAATTACTCAAAAACCAATCAAGATAAATTACTATTTTCTTTACCAATCTATTCAGAATTAAATTCTGTACTTAACTATGTAAAACTTTAATTTGTAATAATTTTTTATCAAAAGTTATGAGCAAATTTATCTCAAAATTCAACAATTGCCAAAATTTAAATATTGAATCAAGATTTATGAATAAAAATCTATTTTTAAACATTTTACCGCATATATTAAGGGCGCCGAGTTTAGAACCATTCAAAATACTCGCTGCTCGCTGCTTTTCTCAAGTCAGATCTTCAAAATGAACGCCAGATTGTTAACTGACAAGACAAGCCTAGTCGAAAGGTTAATCACATCTCCATTCTCGCACACTGCGCGCGCGCAGAATAAAATCTAAACATTTAATCTAAAACAATACTCATACACAATAAATAAACACACTACAAAAATATAAAATAAATTAATATATATTTTTAATGTATTGTCTATTGAATGTTTTAGAGTAATCTTCAAACAACTTTAAAATAAACCAAAGTAATACTATTTGTCGTGTCGTGTCGCAGCGTCATGGCGGAGACAACTGCGACTTGTGCGACTTCCTTGTGCAATAAATTTTTCGTTGCGCACGCGCATCTCAGGCCGGTCAAGCCGGACAGACAGAAATCCGAATATTCCGCGTGTATCTACCTATTCCACATGCGAGCGCTTATTTGATCATGACCAAAGTCAAAGTCTTAAAGCTGATTTACGACGATGTGGCTAATATATAAAAGGCCCGTAAAACATAAGAAACACATTCGTATGCCGCGCCGTTCGTAATAAACTCCAAGTGGAGAGCAGACGGAGACGGAGACGAATTTATGCGCGAGCGAGCGAACGATAAAAAATTAATTCGAAACACACACACACACACACACCCAAACTCATGTGAGTTAGTTTATTTCATTGAAGAGGTGTAGGTACACATACTCCGAAGATAGGTAATAGCGAATGATGTGTTTTTGTTTTTGTTTGAGATTCTGAATGGTAAGGTACGCATTGCGCGTGACCGCCGCACGCTTTGCATATTGCGCGCTTGAACCATGAACTTGCGCTGAAGAGATGAGAAGTCGTCGTGCGAGGAATTATATAATCACGTTTGGTCGACGCGTAGGTATACGAGTTACACCTACTCTTTTGTCTCTGTTTCATTTTGACGCTGAAAAGCAATTTATTTTACTGCATTTTGTTAATTGTAAAAAGTGCGCGGTTTCGTTTTTGTAATTAACCCCGTTGTTGCCAGACGAATTGTTCGATTAATCACAAGGTGGAACATCGGTAGCAGGCATCCTCTGGTACACATGTTTGCTTCCTCCTTGCGAATGCATTTTATCGTTAAATAAGTCGCCAAGCGAACGCGCGCACACGCGTGTGCATTATGCATGTAAAGCGCGACCCACGGGAACGGTCTTGGGGACCACCAACGATTCATAATTTTCCTGTCGTTATTCACTGTCAATGGCGAGCCACGACACGCTTTACTATATACACTTTTCGTTTTCATTGCCAAACTAACCATATACGACTATATCACTGCTTTTATGTGACTAGTAGCTGTAAGTTGAGGTTATGAATATATTACACTAATCTAACCTCGAAAAACATCTAAAATTTGTGTAATCTATAAATGGTTGGGTGTATTTTATGTAGTACGCAATTAATACTACGGCGATGCGTCTTCACATGCACGTTTTGTGACGGTCTGAAAATGGCACAAACAGGATCGCCGCGATCGAAGATCGAAAGCGCGGGCACCGGCGATCAAAGAGCGCGACACTTTATTTATGTCCTCAACCGCTGCGCGCGGTTCTGCGCGACGTTTTCTCAGCGCGTTTCGTTTCATTTCGTTTCGTACGGCGCGCACAAACGAGAGAGAATTCTACATATAAAAATCTACCGTTAGACTTGACCTTACGCATCCGTTTTTTGTTTTCGAACCGAACTGAAAGTAAAACTTTGTGTGTTGTAACGTGTGTTGCAGATTGCTGGTACGAGGGCGAGCGATTCGAAGAGGGCGTGCAGGTCGTCACGAATGAACCGTGCTTGAATTGTACGTGTTCACGGGGTGCTTTGTTGTGTTATCTGCGGGTGTGCCCACGGTTGCCTAATCCACCTCCGCCGGGTTGCATACTTTTACATCGGTATAAAGCATGTTGTCCGGAATTAATATGTTCAGGTAAGATTTATTCACGGATTAATACTAGTTGTCATTAAAATGATCAAAAACTTAAATTTACTTGTTTATTAAAAACACATGCATTTCATGTGCTAGCAGTATATTTGGTTGTATAACTTTTAAAATCAGCTGTTAAATGAAAAACTACATAACCTTATCTAAAAAAATTATGCTCTTTTTTGTTTTTTTGGATTTTTGTTGGAGGTTTTATTAATTACTAGCTTTTGCCCGCGACTACGTGCCGGTAGTGTTTAATAATAATGTAATTCGTTTTTACTCTCTTGTTCTAGACATAGTATGTGTAAATTCTATCAATAAGATTCGGAATTATATTTTAAAGAAATTAATTATATAAAGAATTGCTAATAATGCACTTCAGCGCGCCATTTCGGATTCAATTATTCAACTATAACTATGATTGAATCTCAATGCCAACTTTTATCTCATAGAAAAGAGCTGTCTTTAGGGTTTTCTCGGCAATTATCCGTATTTTTCTCGCCGTAAAAACCATCCTTGACTTTAACACACATTTAAAAAATAGAATTGGCCATATTGGTCTAGGCGTTGTTGAGTTATGCGCTTACTAACAGATTTTGCGATTCATTTTTATATTATAGATTTTGCTATTTCTGCCCCAAACCAATACAAAATTCAATAATTAACAATAATATAATGCTGTATTTATCATTTTATGTAGACATACCCTCTGGTAACAGTATTGAAGCACGATCTGAAGTGGATCCAGATGAAATCCTGCAAAATCATCAAGAACAAATGAAAAATGGTAAAATTTTCACTAAAAACACGCAACTAAACAAAAATTTAATCAATTTCTATTGTGATGTAGCATGTATATCAAATGGTAGTGTTTATGCACCTGGCTCAGCAATGGATTCATCCTCACTCTGTGAATTTTGTTATTGCCTCGCCGGCGAACAAAAATGCGTCCGACCCAAATGTCTCTTACCACTGGATGGCTGCACAGCCGCATACGACGATCACGACTGTTGCCCGACGCGGTATAATTGCACGCGCGATTTGTTTACAACCACGTCGACGACCACATTAGCACCTCGCGAGTATGAATCTCAAGGTAAGCGACACACACAACCCAATTTCAATTTAGTGCAAATCAACCTTCAATGCAATGACCTTTAGGTGGTTGTATTGTCGATGGCAGTTTTTATCCGGAAGGCGGTAAAGTCCTGGGCATTGGTCACTCCGCATGCGATAATTGCTACTGCCTGCGTGGTTTAGTGCGCTGTGAGCCTCTTTCTTGCGCTTCGCCTCTTTTGGGCTGCACGCCGGTGATTCGCGCCGGCGAATGTTGCGCCGCCAGCTATAACTGCAGTAAGTCAAAATATAATTAATCACTTCATTCTTAATACGGTTTCTGATCTTTTGACCTAAAAATCGTGACGTAATGATTTATGAAACAACGCCATCTGTTTGTTAAGGCGGCGCCATTGAGACACAACCGGAAGCAAACTATGGACAATTCCCGACTGTTAGTAAAGAATACGCGAAACTACACAAACATGTCCAGCAGCATAAACGGACAACGCCAAAAACGGAAAAACCTTTAATTAATAACATACCGTATTATGTAATTGCGGAAAGCACGAAAGAACGGCAACCAGACGAACAGAAGTATCCCACAACACGTTCGTATATTAACAACACACCAGGTGGCGCTGCAAACGTTGCTAGCAATCGCTTCATCACACAAAGTCCATTTTATTATAATTTAACCAACACACAAAAGAAAAATGCCTCACACAGTTTAGACATATCATCAAATTCCTCGAGTGACATTTCAAAAAAAGAGAAAAGTAATCAACATCCGGAGATTTACTACGTGCCAACTAAAGTCACCGGGAGTAATCCGGATATTTATCGCGAAGATTCCCTAGCTACGACAATACGTCACAAAAAGTACACTTCATCATCGGAGGTCAAGCTGATTCAGAATGTGCTCGAAGAGCGAATAATCAGAGGAATTATTAATCGTAGCAGAGATGAGAATGTTGTGAATGCAACGACGGTGACGGCCATAACGGAAGTCGAACAATCGACAACAGAGAATGCTACAATAACAACAGAAGCACAGGAACAAACTGAAACACTGTCTACACTTGCAGCAGATGCAGAATTAACAACGTCTTTGATTGACTCAACTACGATACAAGATGGCGAGTCAACTACGGAAGAAGATATAACCTCAACGCCGTATTTTGAGTTGGTAGAGTTGATAACTTTCAGAACCGTGTCGAATTCGACTGATTGTTTGAATGATGCATCTGACAATGAATTACGCCATGGTTTTAATAGTGTTGATGATTTGACTGAGAATCCAACAACGGAGCAGTTTTTATTTTCAACTGATGAGAATATTAATACGAATGAAATTGAATCTACAACTGATGGTGATGGTGAAATTAGTAATGAAATCATTTCGACTGAGTTTACGACTGTTTCTGATAGTACAGAGATACCAACCACAACGGATGTGGTTAATAATGTAAATTCTGCAACTGTGCAACCTAAAACAAAAATTGTACTTCAGAATATTCTTAATGGGAATAATAAAACTATGGATTATGATTATGATTATACCGCGCCTACGCTACCGCCATCTCTACCTAATTTAAGGTACTGGTTAATATATAGGCAACCATTATATAACTTAAAATTAAAACTTTTATTTTTTATAGAATTATTCCGTTTGTGGCTGCTGATGCTCTGGATTCAAAGTCTGATGCAACAAAAACAAGCAACGTGTATGCTGAAGAGAAAAACTTCCCGTTTAGTAATCAGTTTTCACCGCCAGCGGAAACAGAAGGTGGTTTTGTACCTAAAGAACCTCCGATTATGATTGACAGATTTTACGAGGACTACCACACTACAAATATTGGTAATAATGGTGTTACTGCAATGCCACCTATACCATCTTTAACAAACCCACCTAAAACAGATGAAAGTAAGTTATGCAACTTATTATTCGCAAAATATAATTAAAATAATCAATATTTGTTTAGATAATTGTATGATTGATACAAAAGAAGTAAAACATGGCGAATCTGTCACCTCTGAAGGAAACTGCGCGCTTTGCGTGTGTTTCTACGGAAGTATCGTATGTCATGAGCCGCAATGTGCGCTACCACAAAATGGCTGCCGGAATTCTAATAAAATTGATAGATCTACGTGTTGTCCAGAAATTGTTTGCGGTAAATAATTATTACAATCTCAATTTTCATTTATTAAGTTGTTTTTTTGTACTTTTTACTATAGATGCAGATGAATCACCAACAATAGTCTTAGATAAAGTAGACATATCAAATTCAACAGTTGCCGAACCTGTGACCCCTGCAGATCCTTTCAAAGACGTTATTCGTACAGAACCAGCACCCGATCTACAACTACTCATCGGAGACATGTCTAATTACTTACTTAAAAAGTCTACAACCACAACAACAACCACACAACCACCTATAACAAATGATAATTCTTCATCACACCAAAAAGACGACTTAGAAACTACAGACGATAAAGATTTAAGTTTTAACAAAATATGGGACATGTTATTCAACTCTGAAGAAGTAACCACAAAAAGCACAACTATAACAACCCCAAGAATCAACACAACCACAACCGGGCACTTTCAAAATGGCGGCGATCGAAACACAGTCGAAACACGTGAGAACATCGACAATAATCTAGGATTAGCCTGGGCGTCGTCCATAGCATCAACAAAACGACAAGAATACGTCCCAGGATTACTAAAACTAGCCGGATGTAATATTTACGGAAGAATGTATCGTGTCGGCCGGATAATCTCGGAACTCTCCGGGCCGTGCATGGAATGTAAGTGCACTGAGGTAGGCGTACAGTGTGAGAATCTGACGTGCTGACATCCACCAAGCGGCAATTACTGAATACAGACTTCGATCTCACTCGATTGTGTACTCGTAGGCAGGATGCAGTGCAAATTTAGTCGAAATAAGCAAAGCGAACGATGATGTAAGTGCCATTGTAAATTTCCCAGCGTTTTTCACACTATTGTACACAAGATGGCGGCCGGTACTCTTCCAGCACTATTTTACCAAAACTTTTGGATCTTGCGAGATAGTTTTGATAAGAAAATTCCTATGTGACGCCAGTATAGAGGCTTGTTTAAATGTAAGTGATCCTCCAAAGATTCGATTAGATACTTAGACGACCTAAACGGACACATTGATTTGAATAACCTACAAATTTGTCAAAATAACATCCGCTACTCGAATGATGAAGTTGAAGTTACCACATTGCAGGCTGAAGCAAAGGAAAGAAATTGAATGTGTGTCCGTTTAGTGAATATCTACAGATAAATAAACATCCTTTAAATTATTTATCACAAAGTTAGTTGTATGTATATTTTTATAAATAATTAAATAGAAATTTGTTTCTCAAATCGAGTAAATGCGATCACAACAGTAAGAAGTTACATAGTTTTGCTATTATGTAAGTACATCGCGTACAGATTATAGAATTATCATATAAAAATGTTAATATATTCAATCGTCATTCATAAATATAAAAATTAAGCTATGCTACATGTGTAAATGTACATTACAGTCTTATGCTCTGATTGAATACGAATTACAGACATTAAACCTGAGTTCGATTATAATTTTCATATAAAAATGCCAAAAAAACTAAATTATTCTGGCATAAAATCGCGTTTTAGTTTTGTTTGCAGATAATTTTTAGTGATTTTCACATCGGCGATAATAAGCCCAATGAACACAACAAGCAATAAAATAAATGCAGCGATAGAAGTGACTTTTTGGTAAGTTATCGAATAATATTGCGTTTGTGCGAAGATTATTAGACCAATGAGAAGGCCATGAAGAGCACCGAATAAATGCGCACCACCTGATATCGTCGGCGAGGCGTTGTAGAAGTAGTGAAACGTGCAGTACACAATATCACTAACAATAATCACGCCAACAGCGACGATTATATGAAATCTGTATTTCATTGTTGTGAAGTTCTGAAAATAAAATTTTGCATGTTTAATATAGGCAACCAAATATACATAAAAATATATTTACCAATATGATATGTGAGACATACGAGAGCAGCAGAGCGTAAACTCCGGCGGAAGCACCGACGATTAAATCCCCACGCATTACAGCCGCCCCCAATGCTCCCCCAATGCCGCCACCGAAATATACAAATAGCACGCGTCGGCTCCCTTCAAATGTTTCCAAGTAGACTCCGAATAAACACTGCAGCAAGACGTTCTGCAGCAAATGCACAAAGTCCTTGTGCAGGAGCATGTAGGTGACGAAGCGCCAAAGTTCACGTTGGCGGCGCGGATCGAAGAGGAGCGCGTGCGTGGCTCGCGTGTACGTCATATCATCCAGAAACACGTACAGACCAACCTAAACAGATCACGATGATTAAAGATGATGAAAGTTGTAAGTAAATGTAAGTATATATACAAGGGAGCAACCCAAAGAGTAGGAAATGTATTATTAAACTAATGTATTGCACTGTGAGGGTGAAATGCGATTATAATTTCATAGACAAACAAGGAAAAGGAAAAGAGAACAGGAGCTTAAATTGTGTTATCGGGGTGAGTGACACCTACTTGCATACAAGATATGACGAGCATTGCGTACGGGGGTTTCAGTTGCTTGTACCACACGCGTTTCGGGTTTCCCGCGGCGTCCACAGGCGATAACAGCGGGCGCTCGGTGATCGATGAAGGTGTTGTGATGATCATCGTCAAATTATCTGAGAGACACGGTGAAAGTATTTCTTTTTCTGCGATTGCATTGTTTGGAATTCCTGAGTTTATTGTTTGATGTTGGATTGGTATTGGTAGTGTATTTGGCACAGTCCTTAAGTTAAACAAAAAAAAAAACATTTTTGTTTATTTTTAAACAAGAACAAAAGTGGTTTAAGAACAAAAATCATTCCAAAAATAAAGATTTATTTTTTACGTTGATAAAAATTTTAAAAACAAAAAATCTTTATTTTTACGACAAAAAATCTAAAAATAAATAAACTCTCATGATTTTTTCTTTTTTTTACAATTACACAACAACTAAAGTGTTAATGTTTTTTAGCACGAGACCTCGAAATGATCATAATGCACGCATCACGAACCCGAAAACAGAAATTGCCGACCAATTAGTGTGTGTTTGATTTTGGCGTGTTTTTGAATGTTCGACTGTTGATTGTACACGAAATGAATCACGCTTCACACAATTAAGATAATTGTAGCGGTTGTGGTGTGCGTGTTCTGGTCGAGTGAAATCCGCGCGATATGGCAGTAACTAATTGCGCGACCAAAATCAAAAATTGAAACCGATTTCAATCGAACAGCCGGAAGTAATGGTCGATAGGCGGATGATGATGGCAAACTGTACACACTGACGTAATTATTTGTGCCCCACTTGCCGTGGATTGTTTATGGATTCTATTCTTAGGCTTTGTTAGTGTAATAGCAGCGATTAAAAAAACACAACACCGAGAAGTTGTGTATATTAGTTATTTTCAAATCTAACGTAACTTTAAACCTATTTGTATTACACGAAACGAAATTATACTTCAAAAGATAAAATTTCTGTTTATCAACATTGATTATATTTATCACGCACGGAATTCACACTCTGAATCACATTTCTTCTCAAAAATTAACAAATCTAATAATTTGGTGTTGATACTCACATGTTATCACTTTGATGCACACTAAACACTTCATATATCAATGTAAAAGTTGAAAATAAAACTCAGCATGTCGATTGCATCGCCGCGATTGCTTTATCATCATTATAAACTATATCGCGCGTTCGTAGTCATCGCAAAACACAAAACACTGAACGAAATGATTTCGATTGTGCTTGTCGTGTGCACCTGTACATGTTGCACACTCATGCACTCATGATCAAAAGTTGAAAAAAACGCGTCGCTCCGCGCCCACACCTTGGACGCAACAAAAACGTAAACGCAGTCAAAACATCAGCCGCGGCGAGTGCATGGAGTTTGCGTTGTGAGCGGCTGCTGCGGCGGCAGTGGGGGCGGTGGCACCATCAGCAGCGCATCATTAAGGGTGCAAGGGTGTAGAATGCTCTCGGCGTGAATCGTCATGACGACCAGACACGCGACGGTTATTCAATTATCACATTCACAACTACATCTACATAAATACAACTGATAACGTGTTATTATATCAATAAACTAAATTTTTATTTAGTTTTTATGCGAATATTGGTTTAAAGTTATCAATTTTAACGGTAAAACATATTTTTGTAACTAATTTCTGTTAAAAACTGAATTGCAGCGCCATCTAGTTAACAAAAGTCAAATTATACAGTTAAACTTGCTCAAACTGAAGTTGTATAAGTAATTCAAACAAAAAAATATGTTATCAACACCAGCGTGATTCTTATCTCATCTAGATACGTTCCAAACATTTATCACAATCGTTATCACACAGGTTTTAATCATTCAAGCCGCGTACCTCGGTAATTTTCGATATTTCACCGATAAACCACTCATCCTGCGCCATGAGTGCATCCTACACCTGAGAATTAATAAATTCCACGCAATTACTGGTCTTTTGTGCGCAATACAAGCTCAAAAATGGTGAAAGTAAAACGAGAGTACGTTTTGGGCGCAGCTGTATGCACCGTGCTAGCCGTTGCACTATCAATAACATCATTCGCTACTGAAAACTGGGTGCAAGCTGATATTAAACCCGTCAACGCTGAAGTCAGCACGCAGAAGAGTCATGTAAAATACGGCCTCTTCAACGGAGTATACACACAAAGGTTAGACTCCGCCAGCGGCGAATCATTCATCATTACAAGTAAGTAAAAACAAAATTTGATACTGAATGTTGCTGTTAATGATGTAATCTATTCAATAGTGACTTGTGTATTCGGTGAAAACTCCTGCGCCATGTTGTGTCGTGACACTGCCGATCAGCGTGTGTCCGAACTCGAGGATCTCATTAACGGTAAACCGGTGCTGGATTGGCAGTGCAATTTTGTGGTGCCAAAGTCGCACGGCATCAGCGTAATACGCGCGGATCCGAATCGATTCCGAGGTAATCAGATTAATTATTAATTACACAACTTGACAAAACATATTGTGTGCGTAATTGAATGTTTTAGCTGCGAGCTCCGAACGGGTGTTTTTGGACGCCGCGTGTTATCTCGCCACTATAATATTCCTCTCCGTATCGATTGTGTTGGGCATTGGTTCAGCGGCTTTGCTCATCTGGAATGTCGCTGGCAATCCAGTGCAAACATTGTTTAGCATTTACAGTATATATTACTATGTGGGTGCTGCAGCTGTTTCGATTTTGGTGGCTATCATCGTATGGGGCGCTTTATTCGCCGCCTCCATTGTGGAAAACATCGGCATTTTGGTTACGCTTAATGGAACCATGAAATACGAAGGAAATCCGATCCTGGACTATTCCTATTGGTATAAACCTCAAGCGCCATCTATAAGCAAGTGGTAATATTATATTAATTTATGATGTTTTTAGGTTAAATCTTGGCTCGCTATTTTTATACCTGACAAGCTTCGGACTCCTGATGACACGAAAATATCTCATGGATAATGAGAATTTAATCATGCATAATATTAATCAAGGTAATCAGGTAATATTTTAATTGTTGTAACCTTTGAGTGGGCCAAAATACAAAAATTTTATTTTATAATTAAATGTATTCTTAGTGATTATCTATTAATTGTTATCTCATCACAGTTTTCATATTTTAAGTGTTTACTTGTATCCATCGCATTTATCACGTATTAATAATCTTGGTTTGTTTGAATTGTTCATCAAATAAAAACCAATCGGCGTGTTTTGTAATTTCGTCACACCAAAATGTCGCGTGTTCCTGTATACTGCCATCTTCCCCTCCGTACTCAATTGGTAAAACACTTGGATCTAAAATCTCGAGTAATGAGTCATTTCCGCCGCTGTGCACTCTTAATCTGTCCTTCATCTTTTTCTTCATAAAACTCCTAAACACATTCAATAAAACATTGATGAACATTGGTGCATTGATGAATTCTAACTGTTTCGGTCTGCAATGGTAATTTTCCCAAGATTTCACCATGTGTTTGATTATAGATGGCGTTGTAAGTCGTGCGTGAGCGAATGACATTCCTGCCAAATCGAAAATCGCGCACACGCCGTGTACATGCATCTGCGGGCAGATTTTGTTGCATACGTCGAGGATCATATATGCCACTTTGAAAATTTCAAGTAGCGTGTATTGACTTGGATCAAATACACTTACTCGTACGATGAGGACTAATCTTCCATTTTGTAGTTTTCGCAAAGGGACAAATGTACCAAGCCGTAACACTTCTTGAATGCGTTGTGTGCGTGGATCACGATCGGAAAATACGCTTGGCATTTCCGAACGCATGCGGTAGTAATTTTTCAACTTGTCTATTGCTATCGGAAGATTGTATTTTGATGAACGCAGGAAGGCCAAAAGAACTTCATCTTCAGTTGTGATGTTGAATTCGGGTTTTTCATGATCGTTGAAATGTTGTCGTAGTTTTTTCAAATATTCTTGACGTTTTTTTGGAGTCTCTTTGAATTGTTCACGTGCGTATTCTATTGATGATGCGTCTAACTTGGATGGATAACGTGAACGTGGTGGAGCCATGGTGTTGTTCAATGCTCACACGCTGAATTACACTGATGAACTGATCATTAACAAATAAGTTGTATGTTTATCGTTGTGACCTTGGACGTAAATTATTCTATTTCCATAAAAGTTGCTGGGTTAGAAGCGATTATAGAGATGATAAATTAGAACAATAATAATCACATTGCTGATTAGGCAACTAATGATGCAACTTGTATTTGTATTCGTATTGAGATTATAAAAATACAAAATTTTGTTGTGTGTGTTAATATTTTGTTGATTTTCATTTTAATTAAAAAGTTACATAAGAAAACAAACATACAAATTAATATGAATGACTACCGCTGGTTCTTGCCTATTTTAACTGTCATTAAAAACATGTTCGTTGTGTTTTTTGCAATGGAAAATTTAGCAAGTAATGTTTATTAAGGAACTTTTAAAAACTTGTTTCTAGCAAATACAACCTAACAAGTTTAACTATAATCCACCAGATGTCGCCCCAACTTAACCCTGCGATTCCTGTAACCTCCGCTCTCTTCTTTGTTGTCATAATGGAGAGTGATAGAATGTGAATTCATTCTTGTGTTATTTCTCTCTGAAGTTTACGCACGATCGCCCATTTAATGAGTGAATATCAATAATAGTCTAGTCAGTTGAAGTGTGAAATTGCCGCTGACCGCGTTAGCAACGTAACGTGCGTTGGTAGACCACCTCTCTAAAAATAATTCGCTTCACATTGAAGAAACAGTTGAGTGCTAGTTGACAACAGTCGAAAATGAAGATGGCTGACGGGGCGACGATACTGCGAAGAAATCGGCCGGGAACGAAGGCAAAGGCAAGTTTATTCATTATTATAATAATGACAACGAATGTAGTAGATTTTAATAATGTTTTGGTTTTATAATATAGGATTTCTGTCGATGGCCGGACGAAGCCTTTGAGGAAATGGACAGCACACTGGCTGTACAACAGTACATTCAGCAGCTGATCAGGAAGGAACCTTCCAATATTGAACTTATTCTGCGAATGCCGGACGCGCAGGATGAAGGTGTTTGGAAATATGAACATCTTAGGTAAAATAATTATTACTGAAATCTTGTCAAAGTTAAAAAAATTAATTTTGTTGAATTTTTATTCTTTTGTAGACAATTCTGTATGGAATTAAACGGGTTGGCGGTGCGATTACAAGTGGAATGCCATCCCGACACATGCAATCAAATGACCGCCACCGAACAGTGGATTTTCCTGTGCGCTGCACACAAAACTCCAAAAGAATGCCCTGCAATTGACTACACCAGACACACACTTGATGGGGCTGCTTGTTTATTGAATAGTAATAAGTATTTTCCTAGTAGGTAAGTAAAACATTAAAAACCTTCAAATTTTAACATAAAAATTCATATTTAAAAACTTTTTTTTACAGAGTGAGCATTAAAGAATCATCGGTAGCAAAGTTAGGTTCGGTGTGTCGCCGTGTCTACCGCATCTTTTCACATGCATACTTCCACCATCGCACCATCTTCGATGAGTTCGAAAATGAAACATATTTATGCAAGCGCTTCACTCAATTCGTCGTCAAATACAATCTCATGTCAAAGGATAATCTGATCGTACCAATTTTCGACGGCGAATTGGAGCCCAGCGAATCCGAAGCTTAATTTAACACCATAAGAAGAAACAAATATAACACATTGCAAAACACTCACCTATACACCTCACTCTACACTCGGACGCCATCCGCGATGGGAAAACTGATGAAACACCTTGATAAATGTGTGTAATTATATGTATTATAGTGTTAGGTGTATAAGTAGTTGACTGTGTCGAATATGTCGAATAACTGGAGGGGCATGCTACTCTTCAAGAACATTTACTCAAATAATCAAGACCAAAATGAAGTTTAAGAGTCAAAATTGGGGAAATTCTTCTAAAAAATCGAAAATTGCAACTTGTGCAACATATTATTTATTCATAATATACATTTTTTTATTTCGACGTTCTAGCGATTAAAAAATGCTGATTCATAAAATATTTGATTAGTAAATTATGAAAATCCAGTAGTCTACAGAGATCCTCAGTAGTATATTGTTTAAAAAACAATCATTTGCTTTAAAATCAAGATTTAACTTAAATTAGACTCCGAATTTACTGGTCATTTGTTTATTTTATATTGTTTAATTATTCTCAACTAACTTTGGGACTTTTTGAACCTGTTGGACCACTTGTGCTTCCTTCAGATGTTGAATTTTTCTTGCTATTCTTTTTTTGTTTGTTATTTCTGTTTTTGTTTTGTTTACCATTGCTTGTGCTGGAATTTGTTGTCATTGGTGTGAATGTTACAGTTTCCCCTGGTGCCTGATAACCCAACTGGTCATCATTGATTCTCTCTTTTGATAAAAGAATGTGAATCATTGGTAGTTTTCTTTTGACTACAAGTTGGTCCAGTTCAGGTATGATTGGATCCCAATATTCGTCAATTCTTCATTTAAAAATTACAAATAATTAATTAATGGTATTAATTTAAGTTTAGTTTGACTGTAACTTACTCTCTGTAACATATTTTTGTGATTTGATGAACAGGCAGGCCACATTCCCTCTTCATGATCTCAGCACATGTGATTGTTTTGCCAACTGCAGGGCCATAACCAGTCCATACCAGGCTGTCTGTTGCAGGGAACTTTTCTAGTGCATAGGTGAGTAAATTTCGAATTTTACTACCTCCTCTTACCTGAAAACAATGGAAATGTTCATTGAAGTTGAGAGAAAAACTTTTGTTTCGTAACTTACATGCATCCATATGAAGTCTTTGGGTAGTTTGTCGATAGGAATTTGCTCCCTCTCAAGCTCAAGCTCGACGTTTTTACCCTTTTTATAGTTTTCCATACTTTTTCACACTGAAATATAATTTAATAGAAGAATATTAAACTTTTTAAAGTGAAAAATGTGCTTTTGGGTTATGTTTTGGTTTGAAGCGCTGGTAAAAGCAAAACGTACGGTGTATACATGGTGGACTATGTTGTTTTACAAAGGGAGATCTAAAATGTTATTTTGTGCAATTTTAAGCTATACTTAGGGTGCATTCGCGTTGGACGCTTACGCGCTGTGAGCGCTCACGCTTATAAGCACAAATTTTTAGTGTTCGAGATGGCCTATAGGCGCTTAGAATCAATAAATAAATTTCGTTCGTTTTGGATATTGTGAGCGTCAATAATCATCAACATGGCAACTGTTTATCAAATAATTTAAATTTTTATTTTTTAAATTTTAATTTAATTGTAAATTTTATTACTTTCTGGATCAGTTAGCTCAACAGAAATTAATTTTGGTTGACTGCTTGCCATTTTTGCGGGATTGTAAAGAATTTAACAATTTAGAAATAAATGAAATTTTTTGGTTAGCTTATGCTCAAGTTGCATTCGTTTTGACAGATAATAAAAATTGGCGCTCACGCTTTCGCTGCCCTACCTCTGTGGCGTGAGCATAAATGAGCGCGAAGTCTGTGCTACGAACTCAGCCATGAGCGTACTTATGTGACACTCACAGCGCCAAGTCGAACGATGAAAATGACATGTAAGCACGCTCACAGCGCGTAAGCGTCCAACGCGAATGCACCCTTAGTAATTTTGGAGAAGGTTCCTGGATGGAAAATCCTATTTAACAAAATTTCTTTAATTTTATTGTCTTTAAAAATGATAAATATGACAAGTATTCAATTTAAAATTGCAAATAAAACTGTTGGAAATGTATTATTACATAAAACGACAAACATCTGTGACAAACAATCTTTAAAAACTATATCAAACACAATCATTCAATCGTAATTTTAATCCTACTTCAATACGTATATAATACTTCTCGTAACTGTTTTTTTGGTTCTGATATAACAATGTATAGAGTAACGCGTAATATTTTACTTTAATATTTATATTTTCTGTGTTTCGATTATTGTTTTGTTACCAAAAAGCTACTACGTATTCTTGTTCGTGTTAAGCTTACGGGTCATACGCTGCACCTTCTCCTTGAGGCCGTTTTCGCGTTTTTTGATTGTGACATGCTCAGACAACCTTTGGTTCTTCTTCATTTTCAACTCTTTCAACCTATAAAGTATTTAAAATTAAAATTATCATTGGTTTAAAGGAGAAAATGATTTCATACTTTTCTTTCTCAAGGCGTATAAACTCTTTCTTCCAAATATCTTTGAAATCCACACAAAATGGCAGCCACAATTCGAAGAAATCATGTGGCGGGAATGTTTCCAACGTGCCAGATTTCGGTTTGAATTGATAAAACTGCACAGTTGCTATGAAAATCAACTTTGACTCTTTGAGATCATCGCATTCGCTTTGTAGCCTTTTATTGGCTACGTCTATAAATTCAGACATCTTCTCTTTGAATGGGTGTAAATTGTCTGCGTTGGATGCAGCGATAACTTTTTGTGTTCGATTTTCACATGCTGGAAATTAAAAACGTATTAAAATCATAATGGCGTCGGTTTTTATGCAGTTTTTTACCTTTTAGTTTGACTTTTAATTTTTTGAGATCATTTTCGACATCATCAAAATTAACCGTGGCTGCACGACTAATATCGCCCGGTTCAGGAATCGGCAATGTAAGTTTTCCACCTTCCAAGGGCATTTCCAATTGTTTGATATAAGTACGCACGATGTAATGCAACAGCGTGATTTGTGAATCTTTTGATTTTACATCTTTAAGTTTTGACATAATTTCAAGACCAAAACCATCTGCCTGACCACGTGCCATATTACCACCATTCATGTAATTTCCAGGGTTAAAATGATTGCCATTACTTCTTTCAATGAGCTACTTGTTACCAAAAACTAGAAAAAATAAAAATTTGTCTTGAATTATTATATAAAGCTTATTTCACACTATTGTGACCGTTTACTTACGTGACAAGTTGATTTTACGTTGCTCAATGTATGCTCAATCGTTGTAATGGCGTCGTCAAACTCGGCCATGAACATAAAACACGAAATCCGCTCGGCGAAACTGGATATCTCGCTAAGGTCGTGTAAAAACTGCTCGGGCTTATCCAACGGAATCTCGGGTTTCGTAGCGAGGTGATCTTTGATCAGCTCCAACTCTTCCGCAGTTGCGCGCTGGAAAAAGTGATAATATAACCTTCAAAACTGTCATTTGACACTTTTTTCACACTTATACTTACATTTTCGTATATGATCTGTAGTGACTCCAAGTTTACCACTGAGGTATCAAAGTTATAGACAGCGTTCTCGATTTCTTGAAAATCCACGTGTAAACTATGCGCTAAAATGCCAACACTTTGAGATCTTTTTCCGTCTAAGAGTTTGATAACTTCGCTTTTTTTCGTTTTGGTCTCGGTTTTCTTTTTGCTCGGTTTACACGTTGTGACTTGTCGGGAGAATAGGTCTACGAATTCGTTGAAATTGCATTCGAGCTTAACTTCATCCAATTGCGACCATAGTGGATTAGCGGGAATAATGGCGGGCGCATCCGGTTCATCAGGAGATGGTACTCGTACCGGTGTGGTTGGTAATGATGTCGGTGGCGCTTGCGCAATCAGTATACGCGTCCAGTAAAGAGGTTTCATTGGGGCTGTCGGGTTGATTGGTGGTTTCCGCATCGCTAAAACAATTTAAAAATGATATTTTAATAGTAATTATATATAAAAAAATGGTAATTATAGTTTTAATTCGTGCCTTGTCTATAAAATGAACAATCTAAACATGAATTTTTGTCATGCACGTTTTGGTCGTGTTGTATTTTCATTTTTTGGTTTTTGAGAAGTTTTGTAAGTTTGCTCACCTGGATACATGAACGGCGGTGGCGCCACTAGAAACAATTTGTTTAGGAATGTTTGTTTGTGCGTTTTTGGGTATTGTTTTCGGGCAAACTACAACGTCAAACATGTATATAGAACAACAGTTAAGTGTGTGAACAAGTACAGGGGAGCGGGGTGACTGAAGACGATCATTTATAAATCTTGCCCTAAAGGGGAGTCATGCAAAATTAAAATTAAATCAAAATTATCAAATGAAACAAACAAATTGGTACTGATTCATCTATATAAGTATTTCTGGGCGGGGCTGGGGTTTACCTTACCCGCCTTGTTTGCGTTCCAGCCGCCTGGGGGAGGTGCCGGCAAGGGTGCGGGGCCCCCTGGTACAGGCGGAGGCGGCGGTGGTAATCCGGGCATTCCACGCATGCCTGCGACCATTGGTGGTGGTGGCGGTGGAGGACCTCCGGACATCCCTGGCATTGGAGGTGGGGGAGGACCTGACATTCCTGGCATAGGTGGAGGGGGTGGGCCGCCCATTCCAGGCATTGGAGGTGGAGGAGGTCCACCCATTCCAGGCATAGGTGGTGGGGGAGGTCCTCCCATTCCAGGCATTGGAGGAGGAGGAGGTCCTGCCATCCCAGGCATTGGAGGAGGTGGCGGTGGAGGACCTGTTATTCCAGCCATAGGTGGAGGAGGTGGTGGTATTGTTTCCATCATTCCTGGCATTGGTGGAGGAGGTGGTGGCGGAGGTCCACCTCCCATCATCATCGGCATCATTGGTGGGGGCGGTGGAGGAGGAGCACCACCTATTTCATCTGTTCCTAACTGCCCCACAGGCATTGGAGGAGGTGGAGGTGGTGGAGGTCCAGTTACACCAGTTTCCCTACTGATAAACCCAATCCTACCCCCACCATCACCCATTCCTCTTACACCTTCAATCTGAGTATTTGCACTTATAACCGTAAGAATACTTCCTTGCGATGACGCATTGCTGATGTCTAACATCCCATCTGGTACCACAGCATCCACACTCTCCTCCAGAGTATCATTTGACCTCACATAAGTAGCCCCGCACATTTCACACAACCCTTTCACTTGATTATCTGATGATCTGAAAATTACATCAACCCCGGAACTGTTCACTGTACTTAATGTCTTTGTATCACTTTCCACTGATAAGCACTCTGATGTTGAAACACTACTTCCAAACATTGGAGATTTTTCCTCAATCGGTGAACTGAAATCCTCCACAGTCTTCGCCGTTAATGCCTGAATCTCTATCAAAGTTTTGTATTTTTCAACTTCCTGTTTTAATCTTCGGATTTCTTCTTCTAAACTCAGAATATCAGCCGCTTTCGCCGCGGGTTTTAATTCTTTGGGACTGCCGGCAGAGTCCGGCGTTTTCGGAGATGATCCATTGATTATCTCCGCATCGGTAACACTTTCGGCCGTGATCAGCATTTCCGGTTCTAAGGGAGACATTGGAGGCCAAGATATTTGACTTAGTTTTCCGGGTGTGTCTGGCACTGCTTGGGGAATCTCCGAATGAGTCCAGAAGTACATCAAATCAGGCTAAACAGAAAAAAAAATTAAAAAATATTTAAAAACATAAACAAAAAATCGCAATTCTAACCTTAAAAATATTATAATTCGGGACATCTTTATCCTGAATCTGTTTCAAAACTCTCGCAGCCAATAAATGCGTACAAAACTGCACCGCCAATACTTTAAGGTCTTGTGTATGCGTGATTTCCTGTAGGTGATCGTCTTTGAACTCCGATATAAGCCAGTTTATCAGCATATAACCTGAAAAAATTTATCATTTAAGTCATAGATAACAATTATGAAAACTCATTTATGAATCAAAAGATTAACTAACTACTTAAAGTGATGAATCACTGTTTTGATTTCTATCTATTGTTTGACTCCGAAATATTCTCCAAACGTAAATATTGTGTAGTATGATGTTGCCGGTTCAGCGCCCCGATTCACGCAACCGTTGAGACTAAACAATCGAGCATCAGAACAACCAAGTTGTACCACCGCGCCGCGACTACTGGATTCTGAATTCTGATTCATTATTTCATTTCCGACGGCGTCGGCGTACGCGCACCCACCACTGACTTTTCATCGTCTACCGACTCAGTAGAATAATTCCGCTTTACGAAATTATCTTCCGTTCAAATACATAGAATCATAATTGTTGTTTCATATTCAAACAATTTGTGGACATGGTGTGTTGTCATGGATACGGACGTTGTCACAACAAATTTTGTTGTTTATTTAGTGCACAAACACACAAATTTTACTATTTCTTAAGATATGGGTTTGTGTGTGGCTTAACTTTCGAAACTGTCATTGTGTCATTCCTTCATTGTTATTGAAATGAAGCTGAGTAATAATGTCGGTCGGGCCTTCGGAAAGCGCGTTTTGTTTTTGTTTAAGGATTTGCGCGCGGATGGTTCGCGTTGTTCGCGGTTAGGTTATTCATCGAAATCAAAGTGCATAAAGCAGAAAGCGTACAGAACCAAAACTAGTCGGTAAAAAAGGTCACTGCATGGGATCTAACCTTAAATATAATTTAAACTGCGTATAACTACGCTGAAAGGTCGATGTGTTAATTGATTAATTGATAATATGTGTGACTCGCAGTTAAAGCAACGTAATCTCATGGATTACGATGCATTTAATCAATTTTTGATAATTTCGAGGATCAAATATGCTAGAGGTATGTGATAATATGCGCCCAGGCATTGATTGCACGATTATTGCGCGTGAAAAAGAATTAAAATCGTAAATGCGCGTAAAGTGTATGTAATCCATGCGCGTCGATAGATTGAAAACCAACGCAAAGCGTTTTTTAATTAAATCGAGCCGACGGAATCGAGAGGCGGCGCGAGTTATGTGGCGTTAAATTGCGAACGCAATCGGTGTTTGTGCACGCAACAAAAATTTGCACCGGCGTGTTGCATACTGGAATGCAGTGAATTTCACTTTTTTTTCTATTCAACTTGTTAAAATATTCAAAAGTTAAATAATTGAATATTGTATAGGAATTAAATTATTTTTACATAATCGTGTAGTAATATTTAATCATAAAAAAATACGTTCCTTATGGAAAATTTATGTAAATTATTAATAACTTATGTTATAGTATATTGAACTATACAGTAGTTCCGGAATTTAATTAATTTATCGATTGAAAGTAAACAAATTGTTTCTTAAACTTTTAATAAACTTTTTGATTTTCTTTTGTGTAAACCGGTTGAGGTCATTTCGCGGTCGATGATTTTCGACTCGTTTCCAGTCGAGTTTTCATTGTTAATTAACGCCGTGACAATGTTACAATCAAAATTTTAAAACGCATTGTTTTATACACTGTGTTTGCAGGAAATCAAATTTCATATTTTTGTTGGAATTTTTTTAAATATTTTGATGAAGAGAAAAAAAAACAAAAGTGTATTACTTGTAATAAGAAGTCACGAACGGTCATTAAGGCATTATGACATTATGATGAGCATCCATGAGCAGGTAATGTCATAATGTTATGCTTAATTACGGCACATCACGACCACAAAGTTAATAAAGCCGGCAGTAACCCAACCGAGATGCAAAGGACATTATAACACGACATGACTTTATGACTCGGCTCAACCTGGTTATGTGTCTTGTGGCTTGTGTCACCTTCAATTAAACATTCGTTAGGTGTTGCGTTATTTCGTCAACGCACACACAACACAACACAACAGAACAGAAAATCATCGAAAAGAGCAAACATAGGCTTACTGAGTAATTAACGGATTTTTTTTGTATAATATTTTTTTTTTAAATATACAGTGTGTTCATATTTATGCCGAAAATTTTGTTTGAGTGGTGTAAAATGTTGTAGATTAATTAATTGCTGAGAAAATTAATAGCTAGTGAGTGAAATGGTTGTCAGTTGTCATCGTCAGTGTGTAATGAATTTACGAGTCGCGAATCGTGTAGCAGTCATGCTTGCATACGAGTTGCATAATTTTCGCCAACGCTCCGCATAACAATTAGCCTCAATTTGATAATTAATTCGCGCGCTTGTTGGCGCGCAAAGCGTTTAATCTTGAGTTATCTCCTCGCAAAGACGCATTTGTCACAAAATAAACAAGCGCAACAAATGGCAAACGATAAAATGTCATCTTAGCATGATTTACCACAAATTACACAATTTGCCCCTGTTTTATTTGTTTAATAAACATATTGTGTGCTCACCTTCAAACTTTTCGTAAAGTTTAAAATCCAATTTTTCCGGTACAAATGTCGGTTTTACAATATGCCATTCCTGTCCAAATAGGCACGTCGTTGATGTCGATGATAACTTCTTCAAAACGTCAACAGTAGATCCGCCTAGTGAGGGTGTGGTTTGTCCGTGTGGGAGGGCTGTCATCGACGCCGTCATACACGGTAATTGTTTTTGTTGATCTTGACCCTCAACGGAAGTCAAGGACATGTGACGACGATATTTTGTTGGTGCACCTTGAAAGAAAGTGAAATCAAGGAAATAAGAATAAAATTTCACTTGTTGGTAATTATCACGTTGTAATTAAATCGTAACAGGCGTAATAAAACCAGCATGCGTGTTTTATGCGAAAGGAAATTCATTTGTTGCATTTCCACACGCAATTAAATGTTTACGTTGAATTTAAATGTAAATGAAAGAGATTCTTACCGATTGAATGCAGATTTAAATCAGAAGCGCGTTTAGGTAATGGTTCTCTTGGTGTAAACACTTCGCTGACACTGTTTTCTTCTTCATCCGCAATATTTTCATCCTCTGCAATGTTTTTGGTGTTATCTTCGGTTTTATTTTGAATTTGATCCACGTGTTCTTGATATTCCACGATGTATTCCAATTGTTTCATTTCGGACACGCTTAACCTCTCCAGAACGGCACGCACATAATTTTTTCGCGCCTGCTCTCTCAAATTTTCATCATTTTGCAACAAAATACTGGCCTCGTTTGGTGTAGATAGATGAATTTGTTGTCCGTTTAAATTTAACGTGAGGTGGTTTGTTGCTTGGCGACTAGATGGCGCTGCGCTAGTAGAAGGATCAGAAACTGGTACATCCAGAACACTTTCTTGACTGTAGTAACATTCATTCATCTCCGCCGAGAATTCGATGGGTGTTAGCAGTGGATCCGTAAAGTGCGATTCCGAGCTGGATTCTTTACTTGGCGGTGCGTTCACGGGGGTTTCCACTTTTATCTCTTCAATTGCTTTGTCTACATCTGTCTTTTCTTTTGTTTCTTCTTTTGTTGGTTTTTGTTGTGGTGGTTTGAGTTGTTGTTTCATTCCGGGTGGTTTTGGTGCTTCCCCTTTGTTTCGCGCGGGTTTTATTGGAGGAACCAATGGTTGGGAGAGTTGTTGTAGTTGTGGTGCTTGCATAGATGGAGAGGTCTTCCATAGTTCTTCCGGTGTGCGTACTGGTGTTTCAATTACTTTGACGGTTTGTTCTGATTTTGTTGTTTTTAATTCGCTGGATGGTTTTGCTTCTTCGGCGACAATTGCACCGGAGAATTGGGGTTCTTCGGATTTTCCACGTTTACCACGGATTTTCTTCAATTTTCCCGCTTTACCGCCGGTTTTAGTCTCACCGGACGTTGTGTTACCCATTTTTTAAATTTACTTGAATTTTGAGGGTTTGGATGACTGCTTAGACAATTTTACATTGTCGATGTGTTGTAAATGATCTAAAAAAAGATAAATATTTATGAAAAATTATTCATGTTTTTAATATATTACTCACTTTCTATACGAAAACATCAATATTTTATTATATTCGATGTAATTGTACATTTTGACACGATTAAGGTTAGGTTACTACTTGTACATTAAGTTTACGTTAGTGTTTGCAACTTTATTCGCACAGGTTTTAATATTTGGCTATGTTTCTATGAACGCACTGTATAATTTGATATAAACAAGGGGTTTTGGATGTTTTTACACTGTTAAATTAAGATTTTTAGTGTTTTTCCGAAGAGGGCGATGTTTACGATTGTGTGTTGGTGTATTTGTGCGTAGAGTAGCACAACTTTCATCCCTTTGGCAAGTGTGAGCAAGACTAGGGGCTGCGCATGAGTCAGAAGCAAATGTCGGGAAAATCGATGAGGAAATTCTACAACGAGGCGGGAAATTCAAAATCTTGTGATTTAAACTATAATAACTAAAAATAAAATACCATAAGGAAAAAAAATAGAATTTAAATTATTTATTTATTATTTTGTTGTTTTAGGTTAATAAATTTTTAATTAAGTTAAGTTGATTTTCTAGTTTATTTGTTTAAATTTTATATTTGTGTTTACACCAACTGCGCTGCATTAATTTACTAATCATAAAATTTACTTTCCTAAGTTCTATATTGCGGAATCTTAACTTTTCCGTTTTTCCGCTTTGTGCTACGTGTTTGTATGAGAGTGTATGCGGAAAACAAATATGAAGAATTTATGGCTAAAATTTATAACTTATTGCCGAATCAAATTGACCCGCGCTAGCATAACCTCAATGCAGACTAATACAATCACACTGTAGGCAACCAAACATACGCACAAACACACAACTCCTGCCAGCAATGCGCCACATTCGCATGCGAGTTAAGAGAAATGGCAAAACTAGCAGAATGGGAAATCGCACAAATCGTTCCAGTCGTCCGCATGGCGCGCAAAGTCGGAAAGTCGGACGAGAGCGATCAAAACGACGATATTTCATCTCGCGTATCGCGCGCACGCAGCATAGGCAACCAGTTATGCCCGATATTCTCTAGCTTGGCCGTAGAATTATTAATTTTATATACTTATACGGATGTGGCACACTAAAAGAACGTGCGGAAATGCTTGGCACACATTTCAAATATCCTGTGAGGGCAGCAAACAAGCGGAAATGAGGAAGTAAACTACAATGAACTGCGTGCAGTTTTATTGTTCAAAATGCAGAAAACAAGAGATATCAAGCTCAAAAACGTCGCAAAACGCTGGAAACTATAAATGGGGGCGGGATAATTGGAGGGGTTGCTGTGGGAGGAGGGTCAATCGACATAAATCGGCGGAAATTGACACACGCGGGATAACAAAACGACGTAAAATCTTATAAAACGTCCCAAAACTGGCGTCACTGGCGTATTATGTCGTAAAACTTTGAAGTCAACGATGACGCCCTCCCTTGCCACACGCAGCAGTCGATGACATCTTGTTTTACGAGCCGGAACGGCCAATTTTCCTGTTGACAAGTTGACAAATTGTAACAAATCTAACAGGATTGGACGAGAATGGCCATTTGAACTAACAATATTCATAAATATAAATAACATACGCTTGATAATATATATTTTTTTGTGAAAACTAGTTTTCACCGCGACTTCGTCCCGGTAGTGTTTAATAAAAATGTAATTCGTTTATACTTTCTTATTCTAGACATAATATGTGTCAATTCTATTAATGAGATTTGCAATTTTATTTTAAAGAAATTAATTATATAAAGAATAGCTAATAATGCACTTCAGCACGCCATCTAGGATTCAACTATTTAACTATAACTATGATTGAATCTCAATGTCAACTTTTATTCTATAGGAAAGGACTGTCTTTAGGAGTTTCCCAGCATTTATACGAATTTTTCTCGCTGTAAAAACCATCCATGGACTTTAACGAACATTTTAAATAAAGAATTGGCCATATAGGTCTAGGCGTTCTTGAGTTATGCGCTTACAAACAGATTTTGCAATTCATTTTTATATTATACATGTAAAAATTGCTTTTAATATTGAATAGTTTTGTATTTGTGTTGGTAAAAGACAATTAATAGGAAATTTGTGTTCGTTGTCTAATTGCACGCCGGCGACTCCATAACTCCGACTTTGCCCGGCCGCGATAATTTGTCTGTTGGCAAGATTAGTAGAGAATTTCCAGGCCGAACCCAACTTTACAACGCGCGCAGCCCAAGCATTACGCCTGTTTACGATTATAGTGTGCGCTATTGTGTTGGCTTGTAGGCAACTCCGACTACAACCCCGCAGCACGAAATGATAGAGTGACATGTGGGTTAGGGGTTAAACGCCACCTATGAGCAAATTAAACAAATTGTATCGGTGCCCATAAGACCAGCAACCCGGCACAAATATCCTGCCACATGTACAAGTAAGCCCATACAAGTAAAAGCGACGTGACGAACCTGAAAGTTTAATCATCAGGCACGCCGCCCGCAAGTTGGGCAATAAATCGTCGCCGGGAGCGGAATGCTGCGACGCTATTCGACGCGGCTCGTAAATTGTCCGCGAAGATACGATGTATTAAGTTATCAAACATGGTCTTAATCATGTCAAGCATATTATTTTTGTTGTTGGCATTGTTTTCAAATTCATATGATGTTTTGAGGTATTTATGCGTACTTTTTATTGATGGTTTGTTTAATTTATGTTGTAGATTTTTAGTTCTCGGATGTCGAAGTTATGTTGGGTGGTATAGAAGATGCAAGGAATCAATCAGAGAGGAAATATCAGGGAAAGAAAATCGACTGCAAAGTGAACAGTTCTTATTAGAAGCTTGAAATAAATTTAAAGATAAAAGCTGAGAAACTTGTCTTTTGATTTGTTTAATTGAATGAGAATTATAATTACTAATTTTATTATTTAGAATTATTATTTACTTATAAATAATTTGTACGTATTTTATAATGTGTAGAATTATTGACTGAATAAATCACAGTTTTCCGTTTGAGTGTATCTTTATTAATTTCTGAGATAATTGGAACTTAAGTGATGCTCGAAGTATCGTTTCATTTAAATGTGTCTGTTGGATAAACAGATAGGACTAATATAGAAGAAGTTATAGGTATTTATAAGGTAATTTACAGTCTCTTTGCCAATCTTAATATATATAAATCTCGTGTCACAATGTTTGTCCTCAATGGACTCCTAAACCACTTAACCGATTTTAATAAAATTCGCACACCATGTGCAGTTCGATCCAACTTGAAAGATAGGATAGTTTAAATCTCAAATTATAGTCGCAATTTTAATTTATTGCTAATTATTTGTCTGTTATTATTTGACAGTCACAATTATCTGTTAACTCCAAATGATTTTAACAGGTGTCGATACCTTTCGACTGTTATTATTATTAGTTGACAGATAGAAACTCGTTTTGACAATAATTATAAAAGTGAATGAATTTGTAAATTTAGAAATGGAAACTGTGAGTTTTAATAATGGATGTGGCACATATAGCTAAAAAAGTCTTTCAGAAATTTCGAAAATATTCGTGAAAGATAAGTCGGGACAACGTTCGACAGGGCCGCTAGTAGTATTATTAGTTTTTAAAAATAAATACAATCATTTGATAAATTGACAGGCGCCTCCGCCATATTTTATTTAATTGTGTGCGCTAAGTTCCAATTATCTCAGAAACGAATAAAGATACACACAAAAGGAAAACTGTGTTATATTCAGTAAATAATTCTACATATTATAAAATTTGTAATTTTATACTTGACAAATTTTTGGCTCAAAAAATAAATTTCAATTCAGAGAAAAATGAAAAACGCAAATCGACAGAGAATTGCAATGCATCGGATGAAAATCGGATGAAAATTGGTACAGGCCAAATTAAACCACCTCTTCAATTTTCTTTAAATTTTCCAATCGTGTGCAGAATGATGCAAGGAACTCAATAATCTTATTTTGGTTGCAATATCTTAATTAGTTTTTGAATTATTGACCTTTTTTAATTATTACATAAGTGCCAATACATGAAAATTTTTAAGTGATATATAATGTAGAATTCATCTCTGAATACGAATCTGAAAATCATTTTCCTGTAACTCTAATAGTGTGAAGGATAAATACAAAAAGCTGGATTCTCTACTTTTCGCATAAGTTCAAAGACAAAAATTAAAGTTGAAAAGTTGAACCTTTTATTACCGAAATCTTAAGAAAACATTTTTCAAAACAATTTATCTTAATAATATTTTGTCCTATCTTTAACCGTTTAAGCCTTATTGACATTTTAAACTCACATTTATAAATCACGAGTCTGCTTATGGACATTACAGACCGATAAAAATATTCTTATTAATATTAATACGATTATACCTAACACAAATTATTACATATATTAGTTTAAAACTTTTTTTATATATTGTGCCAAATACTTCTCGAAATGTTTTGCTTTAAACGGCTTTAACAGCTGCTCCAGTATAGGTGAGGGCCTAGTCGAGTTAATCTTGATGTACAACGTGTTATTTGTCGGCCCGGTGGAGATTATTCCGCCGGAGCGTTATTATGCCCGTCGTGCGAAAGGGCCGAGCAAATCGAGCGCGCAAATGATGATTAATAAAACGCAATTTGGGCTCAGGCCATATCCACACAAACACCTTCAAAAGGGTAAGAACTTTGCATATGCATATTGAGTTGCCCGTACACAATAAAATTTATATCGCATATCGGCTAAATCAAATGCAAAGTAAATTTTCATTATTAAAACCATAAGGGACTCTTTCAAGGACACACGTTAGTTTATTGGAGTTATCCTAACATATGCCATTGTTCAATGGCTTGCTAATCCATTAAAACTGTCGATTTAAATTGAAAATAAATGAATATTAATGGTGTTTACAAAATTCTAACCTTAATTCAACAGATTTACAGATAACATTGTAAGTTTTTTGTTTTAGAATTTCAAGAAAGAAATTGAATTCACATTTCTATTTTTTTCAACACTCGGCGAATAAAAGAACATAGCTTACCGCTTCTGTCATTCCAGGCGCAATCGCTGCATTATCACGCTTTTCATCGCCTCGCCATTTTGGAATGGCTTTTGGATTTAATTTTACGATCAGAACTACGAATTGACGAATTTACGAAGCAATGGGAATTTAGTCCCAATTTCGCTAGGATGGCCATAAAGTTCGCTCGTCAATGGCGTCGCTACGGCATTACGACATCTATGGACAGATAGCGCAATTAATCGCAGGTTAATGGCATACGCTCTCAAGAATTTTTAACGATTTTCATTAATATTTGACGAAGTTTCAACGAATTGTAAATGCATTCATATAAAAATTTATTATTATTTTACATTTCTACACAAATATAATTTTTTTTACAAAAACTGTTTATTTAATAACGTTAAAATTAAAAATTCAATTAAATTTTAATGAAAACATTTTTTATTGGCCCAAAGCGTTTCTATTCCGGTTTTTGTCTTTGTTATTGCCTTTTCGATGCTTCGTTCATTTGTTTCGGTGTTTTCTTTTGTCGCAGCGCCATTTTTGCACGGGCCGGAGATATATTTCAGCCGTGAGCTATTGGAAAGTCATAAAACTTTAATTTCCTGCGTCATTTCCTCCCACCCTGCGCCGCCATTTTTATTTCTTCCCGCTCTCAGCGCTGGCTTCGGCTTGGGCTTTTTATTTAATAGTCTGCGTTTTTCATTTTTCATTGTTGAACTGTTTTTGCTTTGATTGCGCGCCGGCCGGCCGCACTGATGTCTCTTGTCTTTTGTTTTGTTGACTTTTGATCAATTGCTTTGATAAATCTCCCAGCGTGCACGGTTGGTTGCCTATTGCCTTTGACTTTTTGCGCTATCTTTTTTCCCAATGTCGTCGTGCTGAGTTGTGTGTTGTGTTTGCGGGCCGGCCGGATGCGTTCCTAACTGGCGACGGACACTCGCAAGCCTTTTCCGACGTTTTCCGGCTGCGACGGCGCGATATATCGGATATAATTCTCGAGCGTAATAAACGTCAAACAGTTGAAAAACGTACGACTTTCAATTCAATATACCGTATACAATGTATACGTATTAAGAGTTGCCTACAATAACTGAATAAAAATAAATAATATTCGCAATATCGTTATACTCGTTTGTTAAAACAAAGAAATGTCTATTCATATAAATTAATCACTCACATCAGGCTGGTAGCCACAGGAAAACGGAGCCGCATCAAATTCCCAGGACGATTAATCACTTTTTTACACACTTTCACCCGCAATAAATCTTTAATTTCACTCCATTTGTTTTTTACCTTTTCGGATATTTTTTATTGCCGTGCATACGCTTCGCATTTTATTAGCGCATCTTTTTTTTGGATTCGGTTGGTAATTTATCGATTGTCTTCGACGCAGCCAATAAAAGCGAAAATCTACGCGCTCAGCAAATCGCTGAACTTGCTAATGGTTACATCATGCAGGAAGAAATATTTGCTGCCCAACGGAAAAGGAGAAATAAAAGGACCCAGGGCAGCGTCGCAGAAACTCGTATTGTGTTTTGATTTTCACGTGATTAATGCCCATATTTTGTTGTTTGTCCAACTGATATTCTGCTGTTACAGGAAGAAATCCCAAATATCGAAAAAGAATAATTAAGCAATAACAAATGATAAAAATTAAATGTAAAATTTGTTGGTAAGCGCATAAATAAACAACGCCTAGACCAATTTGGCCAATTCTTCTTTTAAAATGTTCGTTTAAGTTTAATGATGGTTTTTTACAGCGAGAAAAATTTGAATAATTGTCGGGAAAACCCTAAAGACAGCCCTTTTTTATGGTATAATAGTTGGCATTGAGATTCATCATAGTTATAGTTAAATAATTGAATCCGAGATGGCGCGCTGAAGTGCATTATTAATAATTCTTTATATAATTTTTTTTAAATAAAATTTCGAATCTTATTGATAGAATTGACACATACTATGTCTAGAACAAGAGAGTAAAAACGAATAACATTTTTATTAAACACTACCGAGACAAAGTCGCGGGCGAAAGCTAGTTTGGTATAAAAATAGTTTTATAAAGTCATATTTGAAAAAGTTTTAATTCTCGACCTACCTCACATGAAGTTATTGTGGTTACGAGGTAGAACATTCCCTCACGCATACTTTTGCAAGGTATAGTGCTCCAACAGTCGATAAAATATGGTAAAATTAACGCCTGGTGCCGTCGCCGGTGGCGGCAACACGACCTCGGCCCCTCTGCTTCGTGTTTCGCTCGTTCATCAGTGAAACGACGGTAATTCGAGGTAAGAACAAAAGTGCGCGTATCTGCGCCACGCTTCACGACAAAATTAATGAAGAAGCCGCCGCCACCGCCGGCACCGAGTTGTTTCGGATGATATACGAGCCCAGCAAGTGTTTAAATTACTTTACACTTTATTAAGTATCGTAATTGTGCGCGATTTGATTAATTGGCGGTGCAAGTGAAAAAAATACCACCAAATTTGAATTAAAATCCCACGAGTGTTAAAGTTTCAGTGAAAAAGTTTCAATTTGATGATGAATTCTTAATTATACTGCGCGCTGGGCCAAGTTATAGAGCCGAATAATACTTGACTATGCGTAATCGTTTCGTTTTGACAGCTCATCAAGCAGACGAAACAATTCGGCAAACTTCCGCCCCTGAAGGCGCTGAATTGGAGTCCTTAATCTAAGTGCCTCGTGCATAATTAATCGCGCGAGGATTTTGACTTGGAGCGACTCACCTGCCCTCGCACCCTTTCCACTGCTGCTGCTGCTGCTGCTTTTCTTCATTCACATCTCCGAGCTCGCCGAGTGTCTGAAGGGTGGTTAAGCATCTATAAAAGCGCCCTCGAAGAGAACGCGAACGATCCGCGCACGCACGCAATTTATTTAATTTCTTGTACTTTTCTGTTATTTATGCGGCAATTTATCGCCGCTCTTCGGCGTTTTCTTCGCGTTTCATGCTTTAATAATTACACTTGAATTGTTTTGCGGCCAAAATTCTATTTCTGCGCCATTTTTGCGCGAAATTCCGGTTAATTTTTGATGATGTTGATAAAAGTCGAATGATTAATGAATGACAGCGCGGAAATTTCTGACATCTTACAAAATAATCAACAAAAACATTAGGGAAATTTCATTAAGATTTTATTACGATGTTTTGTAGCTGATGAAGGCAAAGAACAAAGAAATTGCGTTGTAAAATACTTAAAACATCAAACTCTTTGTCTTAAATTTTTTACGGAAAGAAATCAATAAATCCATCATTTTTTTGACGATTTGTATAAAATTCTAAAACCATGAAGTAAATGAACATGTCCGTCAACCAGCGTCACTGCACCAGCAAAAACTACTAAACATATAGAAAAACGTCGAAAACAGGCGTCCGCCGCGTACAAGAAAAACGACATTAAAAATAATTGACTGGAGTTAAAAACGAAAATTGCACCAAACACAAACAGAAAAACCACGCGGTTGAAAACGCCTGCAGGAAAAAAAAAGGGTAAAGCTTGAAGCAAATGAAGCGCGCGTGGACGTCAATCAATCAATGATGCCATCAATCATCCGGCAAACCGACACAAAACTGCAAAATAAAACCGCCAAAGCGGGAAACACATCACACATATCACTACAAATATTCTGAAAGAGACAAAATTTAATAAACATACATTTATTTACAAAAATCAAAAATACAATAAAAATTGCGATAGATATATGTATCATCAATGTCATATCATATTTTTATCATATCGTATCATATTCATTTGTCTCTTAAAATCTTCTTTAGATGCATTTTATATGTATTTAATATCTGTTCCGTTTTTTCTCATTTTTAGTATCGTAATTCGTTAATCACTTAAATTTTACAAATATCGTTTTCAGTATGTACACAACACAAGGATTCAATATATACCTATCTATATATATTTATATACTTATTTATATCGATCGAAACACGTCGTAATAATACAATTGACAGTTGTGACAGCTGCCAAAATAAACTGCTGTGTGAATCTAAGCATAATGTTTTAGAGTTAAGTACAAAATCGCATTCGCAGCAAATCACAGTCTTTCATCATCGTGCACGCGTCTCACATGCATTCAAAATGGCGGTTCGACAACAAATAAAAAACGTTGCTCACAACTCACAACAATTAAATTAAAAGAAAAATGATACAGTTATTACACACGAGGCGCATCGATATTTACAAAAATATTCTATGTATGCTCTTAACGACGAGTTAATTAAGTAGTCGATATTAATTAAGTAGATAAAGTTATAAAGTATACATTACGCAGAAGGGATATAAATATATTACACACGTTTCTGTTTTTATTTTTACTTTGTTCCTACGTTCATTATCAATTAGTTAGCAAATCAATTCAATTCGTCATCATCGTGCAAAAAATAGATTCTTTTAAAATTGTAAATAAAAGAAAATCAACAAAATATAGCCACTATATCTCTCTCTTTCTCTATCTCCGTCTTTCTCTCATAGTCAATTGTTTAAAACATTTGTAAATATTTGTTATTCTGTTAAAATTGCTTTTTGTTTAGTTTTGTCATGAGATCAATCAATAAATTTAATAAATTTGCTATTTATGTATGTGTCTCTGTTGTGTGTGATGTAGTTTGATGCCTAGGTAGATTAATATAAAAATGGCAGTCGATATCGTCTTAAAACGTTAAGCTTTCTCAGGATGGATTTCGTATTTAGATTCGTTAATGATCACGTAATTGCAAACAAGCAAATTGGAACGAAAAACAAAAGATTAACAAGCGTACTTGATCATTATTCTCTTGTTTTCAGTAAATTAGCATTCAGTAGCATCTTGTTTTGTTGAATCTAACGTGTTTTTCGTATTTTTATGACAATTCCTTCATTTCATTGCATTCCAAACACAATCGGTTCTCTTAAATCTAATTAAATTATTTGTAACTAAAACGTAGTTTGTTATACAATAAATAAAATACCATTTTGGCACAGATCAAAAATTACGCCTACTTAAAATTAATCCAACAACGCGATTTTCATTAAAATTACGCAATCGACTCTAAAAATAATTAAAATTAAACGCGAAAATTCGTTGTCGAGAGTGTGCGTGTGCTAATGGCAGTGCAGTCATAAAAATACGAAAAGCAGAAAATTACAAAACAAAACATCAAATTTATAGAAAGAATTTAAACTATTTTAATGTATTGCTTCGGCAATATATTTCGATCACATTCGCTAATATTGATATTTGATATTTTTCGTTTTCAAGAGTATTTGTGTGTGTGGGTGTTGTTAACTTACTCACGACACAATGTTGACAAAAATGGCGGCATCCTCCTGCGAAAGTAACCTACGCAAAATCTTACATAGATTACAACTAAAACAAATAAAAGTCACGAATCACTTTTATCACGTTACATTTAAAAATTGCTTCTCTTCTCTTCGCAAACTTCGTGTTTGTGTGTGAGTGTGTGTGTGCGTAAAATTATTCAAAGTCTTTGAAAGTTTGTTTGCTTAAGTTAAAAGCTAAAATCAACACATACGCACGCACTGAATCTTCAGGTACACGTGAAGAGAGATAAATTAATCGCGTCGTTCAGTTTCTTTCGTAATTTAACATTAATAGCACTCACATCGATTAAATTCGCGATCACATTCGCGTTCGTTTCGTGTCATTCGTACTTCGTTCGTGTAGGGTTCGTAAATGTTACGAATTAATATCTACGGCGGCTCTTAAACGATAATCTCGCGTATCACGCGCCTCGTTCGCGAATTCGGCGTCGAATATCCGCTCTCCAGGCTCTCTTCGTAGTTGAGCGACATTAGCTGCGGTGGTTTTTCGTCCTCCATTTGCTGATCCATGAAGGGATCTGGTAGGCCGCTCACATCATGATATGGCGAATCTGTGCACAGAAACATTCAAAAAATTAAAACCAAATTCATTTCAAAATTATTATTCAATGAATATACCTATATGTTGTTCAATACGTTTCTTTGGCTTATGGACAGCTGCATAAGGATCACTGCAATAGTCCTGCCTGGAAGGATTGTTACTGTTGCGCATGTAATCGTCGCCATGTTGGCTCTGAGTCGTAATATGCGGATATGGAGCATAGTCATCCACTGCACCGTAACCACCATGCGCAATCGGATCATAACCGTACGAATTCTGTCTGTCAACATTCATATGTTGTGGCATTTGATTCACAGAGTTATTTGCAGCCGCCGCCATTTTCATCTGCCATAATGAATCTTGCGAGTTGACACTACCGCCATTATTCGAATTCGAGTAGCTGTTTTCAAGATAACCCATATTCGGCCCTGAATATAAAGAAGGAAAAAATTATAAAATAAATCATATACAATATAGATGAATAACTTACAATCACCATTATTAATATTAGGTCTTGGTTGGATATCAGGATTAGCTACATGATAGCCATAACCGTTTTGTGTGGCGTAGACACTCTTTTGTTCCTCCATAGCAAGCGCCAAATCCAGAGAGTGTTCCAGCGCTTTGTTCTCCATCCCAGTTGAAGGGTAGTACGGAGGTGGAGCTTGATTTTGAGCAGTTACAATTGTAGGCCGCACCGAGTCCGTTTCATAGTCTTTAGTTTGCGTCTTTTTAGTTTGGTTTCGTTTGCAGCGACAGAACATTAATAAAAGCCCAACGAACAGAACAAAAACGATACAGGATACTACGATGGCAATCAGTGTAGGCGTGGCTAATGCGGAAGCTTCTTTAATATAGGCATGTCCTGCTAATGTAAAAATAGATAATCTTAGACGAATGTTCAATTTTTTAAAATTATAATTAGTTAAGTAGTACTTACGTTCAGCTTCGACATAATCCCCACAATGTTCATGATGCGTTGTGAGGCAAAACTTGACCCTCACTCGGGATGCATAATCGTCATTAACTCCAATGGGTTCATCAACCAAACTTCTTCCAATTCCTTTGTTGTGTTGCAAGCGTGCGATGAGTTTCTCAAGATTGGTTTCCTTATAAGTTGGTGTAACACCCGACACTTCAACGTTCAAAGTATCCACCGGCTGCCATGCGGGTATTGGCAAATCGTGAGTGAGTGATTCAACCACCGCAATCAAGGGTAAACAACTCATGGGGATGTTAATCGTCAACGAGTGCGAGCTGGAATCGTATGCGACTCTCTGCGGAATTGGGATTCTATCGACTCTGGTCGTAACAGCAATTTCCGCCGAGTTGTCGCTTTGACCTTGCGTATTCAATGCCTTCACCTTGAACACGTAGTTCTGATGTTGATCAAGATGCGACACATTGCAGGGGACGTTCTGCTTGCAATCGGCTTCGGACCAATCGGCCGCCTTTGTCACCTGACCACATCCTTTGATCACAATGTTATCGTTGCTGGGTACCTTTTTGTAGGAGACGAAATATTTCGTATTGGCAATGCCGCCATTGAATCCCGGCTCCCAATTGAGGGTTACGTAATTGTGTCCAATGTGGAGTGCGGTCACATGCGTGGGTTTCTCAGGGGCACCCTTCTTTTGCAAGCGGATCTTGGCATCAATGCGGCCTAAACTATTGATGACCTGACAGTTGTATTCGCCGTAATCTTGATGTTTGATGTTGGATATCCGCAGAATTGAGGTGTAGACATCGTTATCATCGGCGGAATTATTAATGACATAGTGACCCTCGGATGAAGTCAACAATGGGGAGGAGTTTGCTCCGTAGAACCATTTGAATTCAGGTTTGGGATACGCTTGGATTTTACAAACAACCTCGGCGGTTTCACGCAGGTCATAGGCTACTTTGTTGTATTGATGTAAAATGATTGGTTTATCTATGAAAAACAAAAAAATATATTCAAAACATGTTTTTATATAACAAAAAAATAATAATTAACTTACGTTCAATACGAAGATGCATACTGGATTCCGCTTTTTTCACTTCATTCTCAAAGACACAAGCGTAAACACCACGATCAGCTGGTAACAACTCATTTCCATTAGGACGCGCTTTTCCTTTGAACCTTAACGTGCTCTGGACACTGACTGCACCATTACTACTCTCGGTTAATTCCGTCTTAACTTCAAATAGGTTAACATCTGCGGTCAACTCATCATCGTCTTTCAACCACTTTACAACTGGTTTCGGTTTACCCTTAGCTGAACATGTAATCGAAAAATCAGAATCTCCCACTCGCTTAGTTTCAAGTGGTTTTAGCTTAATCTTGAAAGATGGTGGTTGGTAGACTTCCAAATTGATGGATGACACTTCTCCAGGTCCTAGTTCATTGGTAGCCTGGCAATTATATATCCCTTCGTTGGAGATCTGTGCTTGGGAGATGATGTATTTTGTACTGGTGCCTACCACCAAAGGTTGGTTATCGTTACCCATGCGGAACCATCTATATTGAGGTGCTGGCCAACCAGGAGGTGTAGCTGTACATGTTAAAGTCACCGGGGAACCTTCAGTTGCAATAGGTTTATCAGGTGTTATCCTCGCCTTGCCTGGTTTGTGTCTAATCAGTAAAGCAATTGAAGAATTGCCTACTTTTTCTGTTCTACGCAGAGGTAAAGCACTAGGAGTGATTACATTAACTGCTCTGCATATGTAAGTGCCAGAATGTTCAGCTGTCACAGAACTGATTCGAAGGGTATCACCAGTTTGTCTAAAATCAGGTTTACCATCTTTGACCCATTCGATTGTGAGTGGAGCAGGGTTAGCAGTGACGTTGCATCTGATGGTTACAGCTTCACCTTCCTCGGCTTCCCGGGTCTTCGCCTCAAGAACCACAATTGGCGCATAAAGAACATCAAGAGAAATTTCTTTCTCTCCAACTTTTCCGAGATTGTTATCAGCTGAGCATGTGTAGTTACCAGCATCTTGGATGCTTACACGATGTAAAACATGATTGGTCTTAGTGCTAATATGGCGGCCATTGCGGGTCCAACGAACAGTGGTCACCATTGGTTTAGCATCCACGGTGCATTGCAATGTTGTCATTGAGTCACGTTCAACACGAAGAGGGTTTTCAGGTCCTACTTCTACTCTTGGAAAATCTAAATTGATAAAACGAAGAAAATAAAATAAAAAGGAATATAATTGACTGTTGCAGGTTGATAATTAAATTCTAAATTTAATTAAACTTTCGCTCGACTTGGTAATAACAATAATTATTTATCGAAGGCAATATTCACGCATAATAACAATAAACCGATGAAGCACAGGCACGAATAACATGCTTATTGAATCAATTCCACCGGCCGCAGAGAGCTAAAAATTCAACCCGCGCTAATTTCTGACCCAATCGAGGGCTAGGCAAAGCTAACTGTAAATAATTAACCGAAAGGGATAACCACCGGCGGCAGTATGAGGGCAGTATCAGAGGGATGTTCTTTCATCTTTCATTTATGCGCCGCTCGTTTTAATCCGCCATTGTTCCCACCGCTAATATCGCAATAACATCGCTTTTAACGGCATAATGGCGGCGCGCATCGTTTCAACGACCCAACGACCTCCGCTCGAGAGTCGCGAAACCGCGCACCGTCGCGAAATTGGATTTTACTCCCTCAACTGCCAAGAAATTCAGTTATTAGTCGATTTTATTGTTGGAAATTGCGTTTATTACATTCGCGCGTTAAAATTACTTAATCTCAGACGTACGTCATTGCAATCAATGTGAATGCCTTTGATGCCTCTTTGTGCAATAACACAAATTGTAATAATTTTTTTGGTTTTAATCGCGTAAAAGTCAAGTTGTATTTCCTAGAAATGTAGAAAACGAATTTTCGAAAATTCCAAATTTCATTAGATACGCCTCCGCCGGCGCTCATAATTGAATTAATTGAACGAACGCAGCGGCGAATACAAATTCGCGCGCGAGCGCAAAAACAAAATTTTCCCATTTTCCGGCGAGGCGTTTAATTTATTTCGGCGAAAATTGATTAAAACCATCATCGCCAAGCACGACGCATTCGTGCACGGGAATGCGGACAGGTGGCGCCAGCGCTGACCCGTATCACAATTAGTTTTATCGAAAAAGAGGCCTAGCGTGTAAAAACAATAGATTGTGGCACCTAGTGTGGAACCACATTGTATGCGGTTGTTCTGCGGCGATAAATTTCGTATTACTGATGGCATTTCGATTTTGGGCCGGAATGTGTTATTAAAACACGCTCCAAATGAAAATACCGCTCGTGTAATTACCCCATTTAATAACTGAGAATCATATGTCACTCTGTCTCAGACGTTCGTCATATTGCGCAATAAAAATAATAAAAAAGTATAACACTTACAGTTAACGCTGAGTGTGACAGCAGTTTCCAGTTTTTGTCCGTCAGGCATCGCGCGATTCCACACCTCGCATCGAAATTCAGCATTATCATCGTCCTTCGACGGTGTTAGGGACAACGTCGCCGTGGTTGGATGGTCCCTAGATCCACCATTCTTTAACGCGGCTTCCAACGGATAAGTTGATCCTGAAACAAGTAAAAAAACATAAATATTCATCCTGAACTGTACGCAAACTTTGCACATAACCGTTGATGATTGTAATGTTGGCTGCCTACCATGACACCAAACATTTAAATTAATATTTATCGCCGTATGCGCTGGGAGAACACGGAAGCGCAGGGTGCAACTTGCGAAACCGTAAAAAACTGTATACGTAAATTTGCATATTTAGTGCCCCGCGCGAATATGTAGAACAACCCCGAGGGTCATCGCACCGAAAAAAGAAAAAATATCCGCGCGCGCGAAAATAGTTTCTTTAAATGCGTGGAGGTAAAAATGGCGCCATCAAACAAAAAGTGCGGATGCAACGAGCGCAAACATGGAAATTTAATGTATGCATGCATATCAAATGTTTATAGTCGCACACAAAAAAAGCACTGGTGGTTTATGCTAATTAAAAGCATAAAACGTGCGCAGGATACACAAAAAGCCAGCATAGGCAACTTATTATGCATAAACAATCTCAGACGTACGTTCATAGTCTGCCAACTAAAGCTAACTTTACACTTACGAGTTTTTCGACTAGTTTTCGTTGATTTTAAGCAGTTTCCGAGTGATTTTCGTTGTAAACGCAAACAATGGCTTCGTAAACTTATTAAAACTCTGTGATGCAATCGTTTGAAATTCAAATTTAATAAGTTTCGCTGTGTTTTCGCTTCTAAAACGACTACTTTCCGCCAGGTGAAGAAGACGATAACACGCTTAAGACTAAAATCGCATGTACGAAAAATTGACGCAGCCAAGCGCACAAAATGGCGACGCAAACGACAATCCCTAACGATCCATCTATATGCAAATGGTTTCAATCAATATTTATTTAGTTTCATGCATTTTATGCATTTTTATACAGCGCTAGATACGCAACAGCAACAACGTTCTTTTTTTGTAGATTTTTATTGCGGCACTGTTGCGTTTTTATTATTCTCATGCGTTGACATTTTTTCATCGCTCACGGCTATCCCGGCTAGCGAACATATGACTGACGCGAGGGTTAATTTTTATTTTTATAGCTGAATATTTTACATAGATTTTTTTAAATGTCGCTTTAAATGTTAAAATTTTCAATCAAAACGCAATAGTTTTTTTTATGCATCAAAAATATAATTAAAATGGCGTCCGATTAGTGGTGGCCATGTTGGTAACAAGCGCGTCGGTAATTTTCTAACGTTTTACGACCGCGTACATAATGGCGTAGTATTATGTTATTCCACGTTTATAACGTTATAATGAGGACACAGAGCCGAACAGAAACAAAACATATCGTGCGAGCTGTGCCGATGTGCCGGGACACGGGAAACTGCTAATTATTTCATGCAGCGTGTGTCTTCGTTTTGCATTCTCGATTTCTTCGCATGCAATTTTCGCAATTATTCCCTCGCTATACCTGAAAGATGATCATATTTCTTCGTGCTGAGAATTAAATAAATAATTCTTTTCGAAAATGCAAAAATATGCATTTTATATAAAAAATGAAAAATTTATTTAAAAAACAAACTTTAGCCCGTGACTTCCAGTAGTGTTTAATAAAAATGTAATTTGTTTTTACACTCTTATTCTAGACATAGTATGTGTCAATTCTATCAATAAGATTTGCTATTTTATTTTAAAGAAATTAATTATACAAAGAATTGCTAATAATGCACTTCAGCGCGCCATCTCGGATTCAACTATTTAACTATAACTATGATTGAATCTCAATGCTAACTTTTATTCTATAGAAAAGGGCTGTCTTTAGGGTTTTCCCGGCAATTATTCAAATTTTTCGCGCCGTAAAAACCATCCTTGGACTTTAACGAACATTTTAAAAAAAGAATTGGCCAAATTGGTCTAGGCGTTGTTGAGTTTTGCGCTTACCAACATATTTTGCGATTTATTTTTTAATTATAGATTAAATAAACAAACATTGCAACAGTAATTAGTTAATATGCGTGTTTAAAATAAAATATTTTGATCTAAAATCCCCAAAATCGTTAAAATTTTTACGAAATTCCATTTCCTAACCTTACTTTTGCTACTTTATGAAATATTCTTTGCTCAGTCAAAGACGTACATAACAAGTTCGTAATATGATAATTAATGCATTGAATTAGAGTCAGTGAATCACGTGAATAATAATAATGTGAAGCAGCATCATGTAAATTCAACCGAAATTAATAATAATAGCGAATTAATTACAACTTTAAATTTCTCGAGCGTCCCCGCACGCTCACCGAAAATAAGTCAAAATCCAATTAACCTCAAATGAACTAATTATAATAACTCAATTATGCAAATTGGGAAATACATTCAATTGTCTAATTAAAATTTACATTTCGCGCGCTCGCGCACGATCACCCCCCGCGCGCGCGTAATTGTTTTCGCAATCGTAGGTACGTAAATAAAATTAAAATTAAAAACGAAAATTGATAAAGTTTTATTAATTTCATCGATTCGTCCTTCCAGGCCACCACGGTTGATTGCTAGTTGCCCCCCGTCCCACGTCCCCGTTCACCAATCCGTATTAATTTTAATTAAACGGCGCGTGCTCACTCACTCTCGCCCAAGCCAGAGCATTCAAATTCATTAGTTTGTCGTCGTCGGCGGCGGGGTTTTGTTTAAAACGTCGGCGCGCAACGAGAGGCAATTACACGCCGCTTCAGTCGACGTCGTCGATTACAAATTAATAATTTTACATTTTAGCATCGATCGTCGCTCGGTGCACCGGTTGACGCGCATCACATGTAAACTATCCGATAAGAAAATTGAAAGCGTACGCTGAAGAAAATGAGTCAATTTTCAATTTCGCCGTGCTAAAGTTGATTACACCTTTTTGCAAATGACTGCTGGGATTAGGTTATGTCACGAGTACCTCCTACACACATCTACTGACATATAGCCTGGAGGAGAAATTTTCGTTTAAAATTTTATTTCACGACCTTATTCGTACGTTACACCTTAATCGCCGGAGTGTGTAGTAAAGAGGGTAGAAAAGCGTTTTATGTAGGTCTACAATCGTTCGAGTTAATGTTTACGTGTTAACCTTTTCCTAGATCGTTTTTCCAATTCGAAAAAAAAGTCACACTTTTTGTAATTTACGACGCATTTCTTTGATTGAGTAAACAAGCAACCATGACTAGAAATAATATCGTATGTCGATGATTATGGCATCAACGTGAATACAAAACCCGGCAACCAGTTATACAACGTATAGTTGCGTAGAATATGTAGCCTGGAGGGCAATTTCTATAGGGATGATGTTTGTGCACGTCAATAAAATCAATGCAAACATCGAAATACTCGAACGTCGAGTTTTGGGCCGGTTCATGTTCGTGCGCTCGTACTTCCCGCGTTTATTTGTTGTGATGCCTTTATACACATAACCTATACGCGTTTTAATCGTCGTGCGCTTTGAAAATCAACATTTTTCACTTGTTTCCAACCAAAAACAACAAAATCACAAAATACATAAAGCGCAAAAACAGAAACCGATCAAAAGCTTTTGCGAAAAACGAATGATTTATGATTACTACCGAAAAGCCAATACTGATTTAGATTTAGATTTTTTTGCACTGATAGCTGTGCACTATGCTGACGCCATCTATCAACGTTTTAAAAATGCATATGTTAAGCTGTGTGTAATTTCCGCGTTTTAAAAATGTACAAAACTTAAAACGCAGGGCGCATAGCTGAGGTAAAACGAGTTTTCAATAATTCAGCACGGTTTACGGACGTTTTACGAACGAAGCTAAACGTTCGCGTGTAATAATGTGAGGTTATTGAAGAAAGGTAGTGTTTTCGCGAGGGCGGTAACACCATAACCTCGAAATGAAGCATGAAAAGTCGAAAAACATCGCGCGGTGTAAGTGCCGATGACATTTTTACAGCTTTAAAACTAAAAGATTATTTATCATTCCTCATTTCCTCACGAGGTGAAATGTTTGCGAGAAAATAAACACAAATTTACATAAATGCATTTAATTTATATTTTTGAAGTTTCTTACCTTGACGATACCATCTGACGATAGGATCCGGTGAACCGCCATCGCTGGAACAGGTCAATTCCTGTCGTTTGCCCTCGGTGGTGGTGACGATCGTTCCGGGGGTAACTTGGGGTGAATGTGGCGCTGTCAAAACCGTCAGGGTGTAACCCTGCGCGTGCAAATTTGCACCTGAACCACCCGCTTTCACTTTACACTCGAATTTCGCATTGTCGCGATCGTAACTTGTGTTGGAAATCAGCAGATCGTAGATTCCCTTTTCAGGATGATAATTTAATCTGAAACAAAACAAAATTTCATTATATTTCACCCCTGTAATAATACTAATGTGTGCGTTGGGTTTTTTTTGTTTGAGAACACGACATTTATGCAGCAGATTTATGAAACTTTCACACTTTTCGAAATTAATTGTTCGAGTAGTCCTGGGCGGTCGTAAAGAATCGCCGAGAACAATGCGGGGTTAGTTATGTACTCGCCTATGCCGGCAACCAACCACACACACACACACACACACACACATGTACAGAACGAGAATACTTGGTAGATGAGATTTCATGCACTCACGTGTGAGCATTGTACGCGCATCCGGCAGCGCCAACAGAAATGGCGGCCATTGTGCATTTTTCTCACGTTTCCCACCCGCCGAACGCAAAATACAATTTATACAATAAACGACGTGAGAAGCCACAGCGAATAAAAGTTTTTCTGTATGTGTGTGTTTGTTTCCACACCCAACAATACCGAAAACTTTTAAAAAACTCCCGAAGACTTTTATTCGTCGAGAAAGACATAAATCGCATTTATTAACAAACGACGCCCAACAAAAATCTAAAATGACACTAACGCAAATATAGAAAAAAAAACCGAGTGTGCGTTGATTAATTTGTGTTTTTTTCCGGCGTCTCAACATGCAAATGTTGCAGATGTTATGCTTGTGCATAATTAGAATGTTTGGTTAGCGTCGCACATTTTAATTATGCAATCCTTTGATCGTGCTCGGCGGTAGGTATGCAACCCGCAACGCGACACCGCACCGAAAGGCACAAAGTCATGCGGCAAAACCGCGATTACCTACGACAAATTAAACATTAAACTCAAATGTTTACAACAAACAAATTAAAAAGAGAAAGCATAAAAAAACACACCGAGTAAATTATTCATAATACGTAATTAGCAATTGTAACTAATTAGCTCTTCTCCGTCAGTAAAAAATTCGTTGTTACCTGTTATTTCATTTCTATAAATTCATAATTCCGTTGCGCAATAAACTCGCAATCGAAGCAATATGTAATTGCAAGACGTAATTTCTTTATTTCTCAAAGGAAATAATTAGTTAATTATAGATCGATTACACGTAAATTACTAAACAAATTACGGCGCAAATCCTTGAGGTAATATTTTTCATTAAATTAAAAACTAATCATTTTAAATTAATTGATTAAATTACAACAAAAATCGTGCGCTACGCGAGTTTGGGAGAATCGTCGTGATGTTTGAAAGTTTGCATGAATGAACACATTGTTTTCGGCTCATTCATGACCATTTGAACGCAATTAACGTTTTATACACTCACGAACGAGGCTAGTTAACTATTACGGTGTGAAACGGTCGCATGAGTCATGAATCATGCTCAAATCATGCAATTAACGTAAATCCGTTTCCGGTGACTTTGAAAAGTCGCATCATAACATTAAAATTTATTTTTATTATTTTATGCAACCAAAAATACAACCCATACTAAAAATAAGTAATTGTATACTTGGTTGCCTATAGTATAATCCGTAAATATATTTTTGTTCAATAATTAAACACATTGTATACATAAATAAATTAAATTTCTCGACACCCGTGAGAAATCAACTCAGCTCGGCGATTCGGTGTGTCATGTAGGTACACTTTTGTGTGTGCGTGTCTGTATGTGTCGCGTCCTTCCGTCCTTCCCACCGTCTTGGCGCACAGGGCAATTAATTCGAGCGCGCATGGAAATTACGCTAATTGCGAACGACGTGCCGAACTGCCGAACCAGAGCGGCCAAAGCGTAAGCAAACCGAATGCAAGCAAAACGCCATCCCCGGTGACTGCGTATGTGTGTGTGGCGGCGAACGAATGAACGCCTCGATGATTCCGGAGGACGACGCAAAACCTATGCATTTCTTAGCTGTGCGCGGCAATAATTAGCGCCCTGAATTAAAACTAAATGCCGTATTTACATTTTCATCTAAAGCAAGATGTTTTGATATGTTAAACAAGCCAGAACTCAATTTAAACATTCAGAAAGACACAAAACTTACGTTTTCGTAAAAGGTACGTCTTAACGTAATTAAAATAAACGCAATTTTCAAATAAAAATATGAAAAAAAAAAAATTAAACTTACTTGTAATTAGGATCCAGTGGAGTATCTGCAATCGCGACATTATCATGATTTTGTTTGTTGTGCCTCGACCAATAATAAGTAGGCGACCCGCGCGACGTCTGCGGCGGGAAGCGGCACTCGAGCGTCACATCCTCCCCCTCACGTGTGTCCTTAATGTCTTCCGCTGTCGTCAATGTAGCACCTATAACCACAAGAAAAAAACACAATGCATAAGTAAACAATCAAAACTTTTTTTCCGATTGAATTGTTTCATGAAGTTAAAAATTGGTAGCACGTGATCGTCGCGATAAACAAACACGAAAGAAGTACAGAAAAAAATAAAATGGAGCACGAGTTACGGATTACCGACTTGTGCCGCTGATCGAAATCGGCCCCGAATGAAATTTAACGATTTATCGAAATCAAAGAAGCGGAACGTAAGAATAAAAAACGCAAGAAATCGAAATCGAAACCGTAATGGCCGATAATCGTGGATCGTGATCGAGTTCGACGCGCACGAAGTGGAATTTAACCGAGAATAAAAGCGCACCACAAACAAAAATTGCAATTGGAGCGGAAATACTACATTACGACCTTGATAAAAGACATTACAACAAGGGCCATCTGGTAACTGATAGTTTAGACGTTTATGTCTACGTTTGTTTTTATTATCGTTGTTGTTGTTGTTAAAAATAGCGTATAAAAATGCAAATTGTAGGTGGCGCTCGCGTGTGAAGTGGAAATACCCGAAAAATTGCATATTTCTCGCGTCGTCGAAGCGCGAGAAGAGAATTTCATGAATTTTCAGCGTGGCCTGCGCTCGTGTGACGGAATTCTTACATCCCCGGTTTCATCCCCTAACATGTGGACACTCACACAGACATACACCGCACACGCACAGTATCCTTTTTCTACGGCACGCTTTTTCATCCCTTTACTGCGCGCGTTCGTGTTTTTTTTTTCTCTGTAAAGAGAGCGAGCCGTTTGGGAATGTAAACCCGTGTAACGCGAGCTTGTCAAGCTTGTCAAATTCCCTTTTATCTAGTCCCAAACGCAACGCGGCGACATTTTAATGCGCATTTAAAATGTTTATATCCCTCGGGTACCTACTGTGCGAGATTTGCACAATTTACAAAACTTACGATTTCCCCGGAGTATAAACTAAATTTTTTTTCCTACTGTGAGTGTAAGTCTATATGGGCACTTTGATCAAGTAAACGCTGAAAAGGTAATTAAAATGCGCATGTATGCAACCCACATTCACACTCACAATCGCATATTGGGTTGCATACTATGCGTTTTTCTACACCACCGCAAAAGTATTACAAAAATTTCGAAAAACCAGATCAAAGCGTGTGTGTTATGTTTTCGGGTGGTTTTTTTCTCTTTTCCGGTTTAAAATCCTTACCCGTAGAAGCAGAGGCAATCCTTTTTTTGAAACAAAAGGAGTAAAAATGCGCCCGCTTGCGTGCGCCCTCAAGCATGAAATTCGCGCGCGGCTCAATTGCCCGTGCTGCATGCAACCCACACAACACACTCTCTCGCATATACACGCAAGCACAACTGGTTGCATACCAGCAAACAATACGAATCTTGCGGATTGCGCCTTGTTGCGACAATGCGAACGTGCGAGTGTGAATGTGCAAACAAATAAATGCCGCGCGTTTTGTTTGTTCGCTTCGCTTATGTTTCCCAAACGAACATTTCTAAGTGCGCTCGTACGCGCTCAACCGCAGCAAACCGCACAATTTCTACAATCACGTACTTTTACCCGTGTGCGAAACAAAACGGAAAATAAATCATTAAAACACAAACTAATTTAACACTAAACTAGATTCGTTCATGTTTAGTTAAGAAAATCACCTCGAAACATACAAAAAAAATGTTTGCAATGCATAATTTATTAACGAAGCTAAAATCAGAAACAGAATAAAAAAAGCATAGCGCTCAACCCACAACCTCAAATCGATCGCGGGCAAGTGTCACATGAATAAATTACGCGCCACTCAATCGACTTCCAACCGGATGATGTGGAAGTTGGTAAAGTGGCGAAGTGTCCGCCAACTGTTTAGTTTGATTACAACGTTTCATTGCAGTGATTGAAACATGAAACATCGATTTCCACAACAAATACAATTTAACCCCAACTTTTTATCGCATAATCATAGAAAAAGTAGCTGTAAACAGTTGGAAATAACAAAATAATAAACTCAGTTTACTTATATGTTTATCATCTGTGTGTAGTCAATTGTTTTCGTTTCGTAACACGTTCCAAAGGTGTCGTAACATGGAAATGCGCGCGCTCGTAATGTTTTTAATATGCGCGGCGTGCGCGTTGGGTTGCATAGTGCATACGTGCACGTGCAGTGCATCGTGCGTGCGATATTCATTTTGTTAAACAATTGAATATGCAACACGCGCAAGAACATGCTACGTGTCTTTGAATATTGAATTTTTACTTTCCTACGGCTACAGATAGCGAGCGCAACATAACCCCACTACAGACAACAAGTATATTCACTTAATAGCCGTACGTGTTTTATTTTATTTACTTTTTAAATAATGTTGCTAATGTTCTCGCTGCCGCTGATAGCGATAGCACTAACTATTGTTGCATTTATTATCATCATCGTTATGTAATGTTGGCGAATAGCGCAAAATGCTCTAAATATTCAACATGGTGGAATTGGAAACATTAGGGTACTTTAGTGTACGCCTGGAATAATTTAAGAAGCCATTACGTTTCGATTCTGTGGTCGACTCGGTTGCGTTCCGAGATGCACTTTACAAACTTCTTTAGGTGAAACATTTTAATAATTTATTTATTTACTTTTTTTCTGTTGAAGATTATAATGGCTGGGATCTCAAAAACAATAGCTATTATAATCTCATCACCCTTATGCCTCGCCTATGTTCATCATGGCTGACTAGTGTTTCAGTCTTTTCTTCTACGAAATTTAATTTTGATATTATGTTATGCATTTCATTCAACCAGCATCTACCTTTTATTTTTATATTCTTCAGTTATACCCAAAAAGGAAGTGGATTTTCTATGCAAGACAAGAGTGCCTATGGAGGTGCATTGTTCGACTTCTTGGGTGTTTTAACTCTAAATGTAAAACATTTTACAGCGAATGATGAACTGTGAACGCACACAATGGCTATTTTTTTCACAGAGCGTTAACAAGATGATTGAACAAACAAAGAGCGCTTCTTTTGACCGGCAAACACTAAAAGTACCAAGAGTATCAAAGTCAAAGAGAATAATAAGCTCGCAATAGACAATATAAACAATAATCAAGTAAAGTGAGCAGAGTGACCGAATATCGACGAAAACAAACAAAGCTAATGTCGAATAATGGAATAATAAATTGAAACACAATAGAGTGGTATAAACAGTACTCCTAAACACGTAGAGAGTGTTATTATTGAATAAGCAACGATGGCGATACTATAATTGGCACTTAACTTAATTCAATCGACAAAAGAATAACTAATATTAATCTATTCCTCTAAATTATTCAAAACATCACGTATTTCTCAACTATTATTAATTTTCTACTCGTATGGAAAATCAACAATTCCTGTGTCAACCCTTGGGTTATATTCAAATAGTGTAGCCAACTCGGGTGGTTGTTGTATTTCGAATACGCAAACTATTCCTACTGTTATCTATTTGAATTGCATAAATGCACGAATTCACGGCAGTCAGCCACGATTTTCCATGATGTTGGTTTTCACTTAGGCCGCATTACAGCCGTTCCCGGACCCCGAATGTATTGAATGCAGCACAGCTGCCCCCGAGCGTCGGCAAAGTTAAGCCATCTTATTTTCGATTTGCTCGTGGTGTGTAGCTGCATCCCGGAGGATATAGCAACGTTGTAAATTTGCAAAATTGTGGTTTTCCACTTGCTACCCTTTTCCACTGCCCACACAACTAATTAATAAACTAGAACAATCGTAATATTACCTATGTAGTGTAAAGTGTAAATTTGGTTGCGTAATACCTATATATATAATAACTAGTTATATTTTTGTAAACCATTAGATAAATATAATAAATATTGTTTTATCGATAAAATCAGATTAATAGCAAAATATTTTCGGAGTTGTTTTGATTGACATGCGCATTTCCGCCGCCACGCGAACGCAATTTTTTTGTTAAGCGCTTAAATCGAAGCTAATTATTCATCCATCAATCGCAAATCGAAAAATCCCTAAATTCCACGCACCGGAATATTATCGTCATCCCACAATTGATATATAAATATAAATATAAAATATATAAATTGCCATACGTATACGTACGTAAAAAGTCGTTTTGAGCGTTCAATTCATTTCACGCATTTAATTTATTTTATTTCGTGGAAAATACCGCCGCGAGGGTTCGAGAGAGGGTTGACTATTCCAACCTGTCATTAATCCTAATTTTAATGCGCAAATCGGGTATGGATGATTGTCAATCAATCATACTTTTAATTTTATTGCGTTTTGTCGAACAATATTCGCCAATAAACAGTCAAAATCATCTACCAGCGCTAATGGTTATTATTAATATTTTCCAGAAATTATCTGTCATGCAACACTGAACCCCCGCGTTCACATCAAAAATTAAACGAAGGCGTGTGCTATAAGAAAAATAATTATACCGTTCGATTTATATATTTAACACAGTGTTATCCAATTGTATATTTGTGTAGGTGTGTTTATGTGTTGCGATTTGTATTTATAGCGCAGCCATCATTATTAAATCCAGTCGACCGCAACGATGATTGTCCGGCGTGTGCGGAGCTGACCGCGCGCACGAACTGGATCGCGCGCCACAAACAACGTGATTTCATCGATTTATTACTTCCAGTTTCGATTTATCGACGAACGACGATTTCTTTCTCTCGCCGCATCGTTTCCTGTTAAAAAGTTAATCGCCTTCAGTTCCGAAACACAACTCATCATCAACGTCAACTTTTATCGACGCGATGCTTCATTAATCATTAATTTATTATTTATGTTGTTTAATTGTTCCTTTGTCTCAGGGTAAACCGTTTCTCTCTTTGTTAATTCGTTGCATTCAATTGTCTTCGTATTCCTACTTAACTCAGCTTAAGTTAACTTAAGAGTCGTGCGTTTTGAGTTAGTGAGTTAGATAGGTAGCTGTGAAACAACTAGGCGTCCGTTTCGCAATCGTTAGAAATAAGTAAGCGG